ATTAAAATGGGATTGGATACGCGATAAGAGATCTATAGCCAATGAAGACGATACTTCTAGTATTGATAACAAGGGGATCAATAGCAACAACCCGAGTCCACAGAGATCAGACTACTACGATAGTATATCAGATGAAAACTTTGAGAAATTCAACAGAGGGCCGTATGGTATATACAAAATAACAAATCGTAGAAGGAAAAGGAAAATCACTAAGGAGAGACTTGCCCAGTTACGAAACTTATTGCCTTTGCAACCAACATCGGTAAGATATTATTTTTAATTGAAAAAAATAAGTATTAGATTTAAAAATATTAGAAACAAACGTACAAATGACAAAAAGCTTAGAAAACTAGACTACTAAATTAGGCATTTTTTACACTTTATAACTTATTAACTTTTACCTGCGACTTCGTTTGAGTGACCGGGATATATAAATAAAAGTATGTATCCTGCTCCGTCCCATATAGTACGTGTATACCAAATTTCATAGTGATTGGTTTAGCCGTTAAGGTGCTATATGGTAACAAACAAACTCAGTTTCACAATTGTAATAAAATATTGGTAAGGAATTGTTGGCGTTGTTAAACCGCTTACCTCGTGCTTTAAAAGGCACGTAAACTAATCTTCCAGTATACCGAGTCAGAACAACAATCAACAAAATCTCCCTCGTAACATGTGATCTCACGCATGTCGTATAATATCTTTTAGTCTTTGAACATACGAAATTTATTCATTTTATTTTTAGAATGAAATATACGCCATGTTGGGAGATAATGTCACAATACAATATAATCATATAAGTACTTGTTATAATCCTCATGACTTGTATGTATGGAGACGAGATTATGGTAATGTGCAGTCGACAGTGTTAATGCATGGTCCAAGTATCAGTATAAAAAATGTTCAAGCTAAAGACATTGGCAACTACGTTTGTTACGAGGTGCGGTTTGCCACTTCATCTATTATAAATAAATATTTTCTCTGGTGTCCTTATGAGGCTTATGACAACACCGTCCCTAGCTTTTGATCAAATTGGAGCGAGATTGTCTTTCGGCGCTATTTAGACGACGCTTTCGCTTCACGTAAATTCTACTTCAGTTTTATATTAAATAAATTTTATTCACAAATATCAATCTTTATTGCAAATTTCAACAATGCTTCCGCGTCTCCCAAAAGGTGTTATTAAAATTTTATATTGCGTTGAAATTGTTTTTCGCATTTGACTTTAGAGCGACCACTTCTCTTGTTCTACCTCAGAGCTGGCGCTGACTCGTGTCATGAAATCGTTCCTTTATTTATCATAAATCTCAAAGTCCATTATTTTTGAGTTTTCAATATATCCACATAATAAACAGTGCACGTACGTCACAGTGTATTGGTGATGTCCACGATGCTATTCAGGTTTGTTAGCCAACGGTCACCACTTTCCATCAAGTAGGCCGTCAGCTTGTTTGCCATTCCTAATTAGATAAAAAAGTGCCTTCAAAATGAGAACCTCGTTTTAATGTCGTTTTTTATGCAACTTAGAATGGCAAACAAGCTGACGGAAAGTGATAACCGTCGCCTGACATGAGCAGTACCATGAACATAACAGAGGATACTGTTTCGCTCATGATAGCTCGCATGCGTTGCCATTTCTGAGGACTCAGATATTATTCCTCTGTACCCTGTAAATCCACTGCCATATCCCACCCTTCAAACCGAAACATAGCCATCCATACTGTTTCACGGCAGAAACACGAATGCGACAGAGGTATCCAAGCAAAAATTGCGTTTGAAAGTAATCTTAACTTTGATCTTCACAGGGAAATAAAATTTTGAGAAACATAACGCTGAGGCTTTTTGCTTTGCCGAGTTTTAGAATCACATTTGTTCCAGTGTATTCAGCTGATGCAGACTGCGCGTACATTGTGAGTAATTGAGTGTTTTTCCGATCTAAGCTTTTTCAACTGTGTCTTCGAAACTCCCGTTGAAATGTAAATGAATTGAACTGACATTTCCAAAAAAAACTATACGACATTAGAAAATGTAGTAAAATTTGCCAATTTAAATGTCACAGGATCTGAAGTCCATGCGATCCCTGGGCCCCGTTATGGCCGAGTGGGTGTGCTCCGGCAGTCGACACTGTACGATCGGTCTGGACGGAGCTGTCTGCGCAAATAATAAGGTATTACATTTAGAATTCTTGAGTAATTTAATAAACTAAGTAACCGTAACGATTGACTAACGCCTCACTGGTGGCCAATAGAAGAGATATAGTCTAGAACTACTATTAAACTACGAGTAGGCAAATGGGTTAATGTATTAAAATTATAAAAATTCATCACAAAGCAAAAGTACTTTTTTCAAAACATTTGTTTTATTTATGCAACTTACCACCTGAAGGAAAATGGTAATTGTCGCTTATAGATATGGACAGTACCACGTATATAACAGAGTTATATACTGTTTTGTCCATGATACTCCCCATGCGTTGCCATTTCTGAGGGCTAAGGTGGTATTTCTCTGTACCCTGTAAATGCACTGCCATATCCCACCCTTCAGACCGAAACAGCCATGCAAACATAACTGCTTCACGATAGAAACACGAGAGGTACCCAAGCAAACTGTTGTCAAATAGTATTGTTTTTACTAGACAAAGGATATTATAAAATGTGTGAAAAATATAATGACTTTTAAACTTCACAATTTATAAGTTAACATCCATTTGACGTCTACTCGACGTCGACATGATTTCAACCCGTTGACGTGTTATATAAATTGTTTGCAGGTGGCTGGCACTTCAGAGGTGAGCGCGACTGCCGCAGTCGCCGCGCTGTCCACCGCAGCGCGCGGCGCCGCGTGCTCGGTCGCGTGCCGCAGGGACCTCCACTGCTCGATGGCGGCGCTCGCTGCAGCCAACGCTGCGGCTGTCGGCTCTCTTACAGGTAAGTAGTTATATACTACCCCCATTACTAGCATATACCCTGTTAGGTTTACCCCCACGTGGTTTCCCCTGGAAACCATCATGGCTAATTCTAGTTGAATTCGTCAGGATGAGCTAACTGACCTGCATTCATCCTCATAAGTAATCTATAACTGGTGCCCCGCCAGTGTATACCGATGGCGCAGACGGGGTTACCATACCATTATCATCCTTTAAAAAAATAGGTCTTTCAGGGGACCGGGGAAGGATTGTTAATACTGGAGACTAAGAGCCCCATTGCTAGCAATATACCCAACCAGATCGGCCTCCACGTGGCCTCCCCTGAAAACCATCGTGCTGAATTCCATTCATCACGATGGGCTAACTGACTTGCATTTTCATCCTCACCTATCAATCACTGGCGCCCCGCCAATGTATACCGTTAGCGCAGGCGGTGCTACTGTTCCATTAGCTATTCCATTGTTCGTCAAACAAAACAAAATTTTAAATTGTCATAACTGCTTATTATGTTTCTCAGTGGTGTTATCAAACGGACTCGAGAACATCACCCTGGAGCCTCCACCCAGAAACGAACTAGAAGCGCACACAGCTCCAGTAACTAGGACGATAAATTCAAAAGGTGCATTCTTATAGATACCTAATTATAATCTCTCGGAATAGCTTTCTTAGATTCGACGTAGATCAAATGAGCCGTTAATAAACCTTATGTTTTGTGTATTCAATCAAAGTTTATATCTGTACTATACCAGATTAATTCTATTTAATATAATATATAACGTTTCTTCTACAGGTATACGCCACAAAAACAAGCGCTTGGCTCCAGGTATCGTGGATATCGCAGCAAGCTGTCCCACTGGTTTTTATTTTCTTCGAAGACTAATGATATGTGGTTAGCTGAATAGAGTACATATAAAATTAAAATATAATATGAGCAGATATATACATTCTTTAGTTTGAAATACTATAGTGGTTTTATAATGGTTAACAAGCTTTTAACAAATTTCGCTTACTGAAGTATCCATGGAATACCTTAGAAATCAGACACCAGAGGGAGACTTTGTACAAAAGTCGTTTGCTTGGGTACCTCTGTCCCATTCGTGTTTCAACCGTGAAGCAGTTGTGTTCGCATGGCTGTGTTTCGGTTCGAAAGGTGGGATATGGCGTGAATTTACTGGGTACAGAGGAATAACACCTTAGTCCTCAGGAATGGCAATGCATGGGGGCTATCATGAGCGAAACAGTATACTCTGTTATGTCCATGGTACTGCTCATGTCTATAGGCGACGGTTACCACTTTCCATCAGGTGGGCCGTCAGCTTGTTTGCCATTCTAAGTTGTATAAAAAAAGACATGGCGACAATTTCGAACATTTTTGTTGTTTAAAAAATTAAAATGTCGTTGAATTGATTACTTCTTAGTCAATAAAATTCTTATTTAAATAACCTCGGTGGTGTTTATTGGTAGTTCCTGCAACGAGGTGGCCGGCCGAGGGAGACAACAAGCACGCACTTGATCGGCCGCCGGTGCGCGGCAACCAAGGGGTGCGCTATCGGCGCCCGCGGCGATACGATGTACGTACCACTGTCTAAAGGATACTTCCCTACACCGTGGTCGTCTTAAACTACTTGCAATATTACATTGATTGAATATTATAGGCACTAAATTTCGAGCGTTCAATACTCATTTTGTGAAATCACAATACACTGTGATGCGCCCTTGATACCTTTCCGATGTTGCTAAGGTATTATATTTCCGTACTCTATAATTTCGTCATCATGTTCCATCCTTCAAACCGAAACTCAGCCATGCAAGTATAGCTGTTACGTGACGTGGGATACGGGTGGAGCAGAGCAGAGATACCAAAGTAGATGACTTATCCTACTACCCATTACTAGTAATATATATCAGGTCGATCTTCACGCGGAGCCCCCTGGAAAACATCATGGGTAATTCTTGCCGAATCCGCTACGGTGGACCACCTTCATCTTCGTCGTTTTATCTTAGACTGGTGCTCCGCTATTGTGCGAGTACATCGTTAGGGTAGGGTGTCCCTGTGGTAACGCTGAACTTGTGTGACTTTGTGGTGGCGCGGCGCAGTGGTGGTGGTACCCGGCGTGCGGGTCCGGCGCGGCCGCCTGCGCGCTGCTGGCGCTGCGGGCCGCGCGCCCGCGTCGCGGCGCGTCGCTACACATCGCAGGTACATACCACAACTTAGCTACACAGACTCCGACTCAGTAACCGTGCTTGTATGACTGTTGTATCAGTTTAAAGAATGGGCATATGGCAGTGAAATTACAAGATACAAGAAGCTCTTTTGTGCCAGTTTAAGAAGCAACTGCGCAGTGTGAGCCACAAATCAGATGGGCGTGATGATATGGTGATATTTTAAATAAAATACAAAATTTGTTCACAGCACTGTCCCAATGTAGCGGGGAGAAGAAGGGCGATTGTTGCCATATTACATAAAATATACATTTTATTTTAGTGTTGCTATATAAAAGGTTGCAACAATAGACCTCCCCCATAAAGGGGCTTTTACCGGTAGGGACGCTTCTGCCTATCATTCGACTATTAAGTTCCCTTAGTCGCCTCTTACAACACGCACGCGAAAGGAATAGGTGGCCCATTCTATGCCGGGATCACATGGCAAATCAGATATATTAAATGACAATCATAACAATTGTCTCCTTAAACTTAAAATGGTAAACAAGCTGACGGCCATCGCCTGTAACCACGAGGAACGTTACCGACATTAGAGAACGCGATGCTCGTGATACCTCTCACGCGCTGCTATTACTGTGAATTAAGGTGTTACACCTCCGTACCGTGAAATTTCACTGTTTATTACCATAGGTAGGTATAAGCACAGTTGCTTTTCAGCAGAAACTTGAGCATTTGTTTGAAGATGACGTTGGAGTTGTAGATACTTGTAAAGCATCCTGACAAGTGTGTAAATTAATCACTAACGCTTCAAAATGTCACCCAGGTGTGAATATAACCAGCTCCCCGCGAGTGGTCACGAGCAGACAAGTGTCCCCGTCACGAGTCATACTCGCACGCCTCTTCAATAGATCCGCTTCGTTCCAGCTCACTGGTCAGTATGCATTGTGACTGTACATCTGTGACAGTTCCGCCGAACAAATGTTGTTCATATTCTTCAAGAGGCGGTTAATTTCTTACTACTTTCCGTCATGTGGATGAGGTGGACGGTTAGATATTTTGCATAGGCACACTTTGTATCTGCAGTAAAACGTCAAGATGCCAGATACACACTGCCCTTTATTTCAAAGATACCGTCACAGAATACAATATTTATGTAATGTGTACATATAAATATACAACAGTATCTATGGAAGAGGAGACCGGATGATCCGTGCCCACCCGGCCAACATATACCCAGAAATTTCAGCTATGAGCAAAGACATGTCTAGGCGTACATGTGTGCTTCATTTAAGGAATTTATTGCGATTTTTGTTTGGAAGCGTATCATTCCGCCATTAAATATTTATAACTTTACTGACACTCATGCAGTAGCATGAGTTTAGTAACATTTATTAAATAACTTGTTAATTAATAGCTTGTTTATCATACTCGGAAGCGTATAAACAACTGGACGTAGTTGTTAGCCGATTTCAACAAGGCGGGGTATCTCGACCAATTTAAACTGTATTTTTTTTTTGTTAGTTACACTGTAGTATATGTAATCTATACTTATAATAAATCTGTAGAGAGGTCAATTCTGTACATGGAATATATTTCCAAAATAACTATCAAGCGGTGATTAGTGATCAATACTGATGCCAAAAATGCACTCAGTAAAATTTTTGTCTGTCTGTCTGTATGTTCGTTATAGAAACAAAAACTACTCGACGGATTTTAACGAAACTTGGTACAATTATTCTTCATACTGCTGGGCAGGTTATAGTATACTTTCATCACGCTACGATCAATAGGAGTAGAGCAATAAAGGGAAATGTTAAAAATGTCCACCCGTGCGACGCCGGGACGGGCCGCTAGTTTTTAATAAAATTAAGGTGAACATTTTTATTCTTAAATATATTTTATTGTTTCAGATTCTCAGGAAACTAAGTTTGAAGTGTGGAGAGAGAAACGTCCGCCGCCCCCCTTGCCACCTATCGACTTTGACTAAGTTCTGCTGTGACTATTGGTTGGATGAAAACATAAAGAAAATATTTATGAATTAATATTATTATAGATATATATTATGTAGAGTACCTAAATGTAAACGTTCAAGATGAAATTAATATAATAAAAAGCTAGAAAAAAAAATATATGGCCGGACTCAAATCCTGTTGAACCGCTAATGTTATGAGCCGTGCCCACCCCAGTAACAGGCGCGGAACTCTTAACATAGGACACGCACAACGGCCCAAATGAGAGGCTAAGCGCGGAAAACAGAGTCTTTCTCACATTCACAACATAGGACACATTCATGTTATAGAGTACATATATTGTCTTGTTCAAGGGGCCAGGCCCTGCCCTGGAATACATTAGTGTATTTAAGATTATTTTGCAGGGCGGGCATGGTTCCTTAAAGGCGTATATGTATTCTAAGACATGTATTTGTGAAGCTTCACTCGGATCCTGGGGTGGGCATAAGACAATTTAGAGAGGGGAACGACCTACCCGACCCCCTCTTAAATACGTGTATACTGGAAAATAAGTATGACAATGGTAATTCTTATATTTTGTACCGAAGGCACTTCACATAATTTATTTATTTATTTATAGCAAGGCAACAGATTACAAATTAATACATTAATAAAATAAATATTACATAAAACAGCATTAAATTTGCACTCCAACAACTGCTCCGCACAACATTCGATATTATATACATTAAAAGAATGACGGCTATAGATTTAAAGTAACAAATTGGCAGCCTTAATGTAACGTTGCAAGGATTGTTGGTAAATATCAAGGTATCTTGCATATACCTATTGTTATAATGACCTGCGTTTACAGTCTTGTATTTGATTGTGGAGAAATCTCGTTCCTTTCAATATCTTAGGTTATCCACTTATTGAATTATGTACCGGTATACTCTCGTGATGGCGTCTACCCGCGTAGTTGTCGTTGTGTGTTAACACGTTTGTTGTAAGTGTATTTGTGTGCGTGTTTACTTTTAGATATAGTATTTACGTAAGGAGGCACCTTATGTAGTTCTTTATTTGCTAAGTGTTATATACTGTGCGATGTAATAAATGTATGTATTTATTGTAGCCCAAGTTTTTAATTTCTATGCAAAAATCCTCTGCATGGGCACCTCTGTCCAGCTCGTGTTTTAAAAGGGAAGTGTTACAACTGCATCGCATACTTAGTTTTAAAAAAACATTAACCTATGACGCTTTCATGTCTTAGACTTAAATATACATATTCTCATGTGAAATTGCATGTTATTAAAGGTAACACGTTTGTGTAGGGTGGGAGGGGGGAATAGATTTTTAGTAATGGGGGGTACTGCTCTATTGCTAGCAATATACTCTATTAGGTAAATCTCCACGCGGTTTCCCCTGGAAACCCACAGACTTAGTATAACATTGGAAACCATTGTGGTTAATTATTGTTGATTTCATCACGATGGGCCAATTGGCCTGCTCCGGGGGGAAAGGGATTGTTAGCAATGGAGACTGAGAATCCCTGCTAGCAATATACCTAACCAGGTCGACCTCCTCACGGTTCCCCCTGGAAACTATCATGGTTAATTCCTGATGAATTCATCTCATCTATCACCCGTCACTGGTGCTCCGCCAGCGTATCCCGTTAGCGCAGGCGGGGTTACCATACCATTTTCACCCATAAAAAAAAACTGCTCTGCTCCATCCTCACCTATCGTCCCTCACTGGTGCCCCGCCAATGTATACCGATAACGCAGACGGGGTCACTATTTCCTTATTCATCCATAAAAAAACCTTTTTCCGTGATATCCATGGCGCTGTTCATGTTTATAGACAACAGACGAGACTATGCACAGTTTGTTTACATTAAGTTTCTATTATTTTGAAGTAAATTTTGTTATATTTAAACACACTTTTTTTATACAACTTAGAATGGCAAACAAGCTGACGGTCCACCTGATGGAAAGTGGTAACCGTCGCCTATAGACATGAGCAGTACCATGGACATAACAGAGTATACTGTTACGCCCATGCGTTGCTATTCCTAAGGATCCTGAGTTATTTCTTTGTACCCAGTAAATTCACTGTCATATCCCACCCTTCAAACCGAAACACAGCCATGCAAACACAACTGCTTCACGGTAGAAACACGAACGGGACAGAGGTGTCCAAGCAAACGACTCGTACAAACTCTCCCTCTGGTGACTTTAAGAGGAACCATGCAAAGCCGAAGCAGGTTATTAGTTAATTTTGGATATACGGGAGTGTCGATCGCACCTGGACATTTATTTTTCTTGTGGTATATTCAGGATGATAATAAAAAATACAACTGGCCGATATGTATTATATATTTAATGTAAAAAGAACAACGATCGTTACATTCGTACAAAGTGTTCGTTACAAAAGCTATGATTACATCTAACAGGTCAGGGCTGCCGCTGAACGTGCAGCACTGCACGGTTACAACATGGGAACACCCGCCAGCTGATAATACCATAACGTTACAAATGAAAAAAAAAAACAGATATGTATACAGAGCCTGTGAGAAAACAGTTTATTAGTAATAAAATATTTGTACAGTTAACACAGTAATAAAGGGTGGAAGGGATTGCTAGTAATGTGGACTACCAGTCCCATTGCTAGCAATATACCCTGTCAGGTCGACGTCCACGTGGTCCCCCTGGAAACCATTCCAAGTGTATTTATCACGATGGGCCAACTGACCTGCTCATCCATTTTCACTTATCATTTCTCACTGGTGTCCCGCCGATGTATACCGATAAAGCAGGTGGGGTTACCATTCCATTTTTATCCAATAATAAAAAAAAAAAACAGTAATAAAACAGATAAAATACAAAATTGAAAGTTTATATTTTAAAATTATTTGTCATAGAAATATTTTGAAAAATGCATTACAAAAATTGTTGATTTCAATTAAGCGCTAGAGGCACGGCAATTGGTATAAAGCTAAGCAGTCGAAAGGTAAGGGAAACCCTACGCCAGGCCTAGCGTCTCCCTCTTATATAAATATTTTATTTATTTATTTATTCATTAGTACATATATGTGTACATGGCGGGCATACATATTAAAATTACATATATAAACGAATAGATATATATAAATAACAAATATACTTACACATATATGACATATACTATATTATACACGTAAAGTAAAAAAGTGAGCGTGAACATTTTTTTTTTAAAGACGGTTTAGTCCGTAGTCTCTTAATGGTATCAGGAAGCGGAAATATATTAATTTCCAATGAATTGTGCTGAAATCTAATCGTACAATGCGACAGCCCTGTTAACATCGATCATATATTAATATTGTTATATAGTAGAAGGACATAGTTTGGCAGAAAGGATACAATCGACAAAGTTATCAGAAATTTGATACTACTATCTCATTTTTGATAATTTTGTAGGCAACCTTTTTGCTTTTGCTACGTCCAAAGTACTCTTACACGGACAATTTAGAGTTTGTCTTACAAGCAATAATGCGTACATGATCGTCTATGGAGTCCATTACGAATAGTGCCACATAAATGCAGAATAACATAGAAACCTAATGTTTAATACAAAAAAAAATTGTTGGAATCATCATGGAAAAATTCTCTAAAGATAGTAACAAATCCAAACATTTAATTAATTAATCGGCTTTTGTCTTGCACTATTGGACACGAGTCTCTGGTCTATGGTCTTGCGGCTGGATCAATTATTCGTTTGTTTACATTTTCATTAATTACTATTGAAACAGATTTCTGTGTACCGAACGATCATCACTAGACTTTGAGCGGCGATATATTTATTGGCTTGCTTCGTTTAGAGGCACAACATGTGCGTGGACTGAACAACGGTCGGAGATTGACGAGTAATAGGGAAGATCATAGAACTTCTACTAACAACAGTAATCAATCCTCAAATGTTGGCAGCCGCACGCACACTAAGCTAGTTAAAGTAATTCAAATCAATTATTCAGTTATTATGTCGAAAGACTGTCCGTGTAAGCGTACCCTTATAATTCGTTACGTTATGTAGCGCCTGCGACATAATGCTATAAGTACCAATCGCATTAGTTACGCTACATTAAAGATTCGCACTTAACACCCCAGCCTTCGGGAATGGCAACGTATGGATACACCGTGGGCGTCACAGTATATGCGATGACTGTGACTGTAGGTGGGCCGTCAGTTTAACATTTCAATAGATATAAAATAATTCGTTATGAACACAAGTAATTATTACAAATTATTGTATTTAAAACAAACACTGTTTCTGAAAGATTTCTTCTCCGCAGCAAAATTACTTCCAGAATTAAGTGGTTTTATTAAAGCAAAATTTTAAATCAAAGTTACATTATTTCCTACGATAATATACAAAGGAGGTTCGGCAGTCTGTTTACCATTATAATAAAAAAATATTATCACGGCTGTAATAAAAAATAGGGTAGTCAGAGATATTTCGACACATACTTGATAAAAGCATCTGATTCAATGTGATGACGATAAGGCAAGACTGTCTCTCTCAAGATATTGAAATAGTAACATTTTTTTTTTATCAGAATTCATGATCAGAAATATCTAAAATTGAGATAGTAAACGACTAATTCACTAAACTCGATAAAGGTGGATTTAGACCAAGCACCTGAACCCATATTTTCCATATTCCCCCTACTCCTCCAATTTTTTCATCTAACCACACTAAAATAGACTAAGAGCATTTTATAAACATTCTATAAATTCGCGAGCACTTTTGTATTTTATGCCATTGTCATTTTAGTCTAAATGCACCTTAACAGAGTAATTAACTTGTGGGCAACGCACGCGACACGTCACTGGCGTCTTTACGCTACGGCAATAGCTGTGTGCTCGCTGGTCGTTGCCACAAAATAACTTCAGAGGGAGAAACCATCCTGAACTGGTCACGCGATACAAAACAGCGCGAGTACAACTCTGAGTGCCGCTCTATACGAGCGGGCGACCAATCACTGCGCTTCCTCCTCGCCTTGCACCTCCGGCGGCGGCTCTGCGTTGTCTTCCGTCTCTCTCGCACGGTTCGGCTCGAGCTCGATGACGGGGTCGGCGGTCGCCTCCGCCAGATTCGTGACGGACTTGGACTTGAAGCACTGGAAGTCGACGTGGCGACTCTTGGCCTCCTCCTTCTCCCAGGACATGTGTATGAAGGGGCGCTGCACGTAGTTGTATATGACCTCGGCGCGGCCGCCGGGCCGCTTGCGCACCTTCTCCTTGTACGTGGGGTACCCCTCGACGCCGAGCCGGATTTTCTTGAGGCCCCGCTCCTTCATCACTTGTTTTGCTACGTCTCTGCAAATGGATGCAAATGGAAGAGTTAATTTGTTTGTTTGAACGAGCTAATCTCTAGAACTTGAAATATTCTTTTTGCATTTCTCGAGAAAGATAATATTGGACGTCACTATGTGACCACGGGCGAGGTCGCAGGATTACACGACCATTAAAAGCTGGCGTTATTATATAAAAAAAATAAAAACACGAACCTGTTCTCAATGTACTTGAAGAACCTGTAGAGCGGCGTGGAGAGCACGGTCTGGCTGTACTCGTCGCCCATCTGCGGCGGGTACTGCTCGTCCCAGTCGACGCTGTCGTCGTCCAGCAGCACGACCACGTGGCACTCGCGGTCGCCGCGCTGTGCCGAGCGCACCATCAGCGGCAGGATCAGCCGCTCCAGGAACGACTCGAACTGCCGCCGCGCGCCCTCGTTCGACAGCTCGTGCAGCAGCCCGCGCAGGTTCTGCGTCAGCGATACACATACATTACACTATGAACCTACCCGTGCTATAGAACATGTTTTTATTACGGCATGAGGATCAAAGTAGGGTATGAAAATGGAAATGGTGATTGATTTATTGTTGAATTTATCACGGTGGGTCAACTGACCTGCATCCTCACCTGTCATTGAATACCAGTGCCCCGCCAGTGTATACCGATAGCGCAGGTGGGATCAGCATTGCATTGTCATTCATTAAAAAAACATTCCTAACAGAGTACAGCAAACATTGACGTGAGAAAGAAAAATGTAACGAAGATTCTGTTTCAGCGATCAAAAACATATTCTACTTCCTTCCAATATTATAAACTTCAATGTATGTGAAAAATTTTATTGTTTGCGGGTTCGTTACTCAACTACGTTGTAACGGCAGAAAGGACTAAATGACAACTGGTATAAAATTGACTGTGCATTGGAGTAAACGTGGGGTACTTTTTAACATAATTCACGCGAGCGAAGCCGCAGGAAATGGCTATCAAAAGATACAATACACTTGATCTAATCAGAAAAATCTTTCATCGATTGTTTTTGTGGTCGTGTACAATTAAATATTGTAATAATGTATGCAGACAATAAAGGTACCGTGCAATGGCCGCAGTGGTTACCTGGCAGCGGACGGTGTTGGCGTCGAAGGGCACGAGCAGGTAGTCGCAGGCCTCGCGTAGCTCCTGCACGGACACGGTGGGCGGGCAGCGGATGGTGCCGCCGCGGTAGTACTCCAGGATGGCGCGGAACACCGTCGCCGAGATGCCCTCCGCCACCTCGTACTCGCCGCGCTCGTTCGGGTGGGTGAACTCTAGGCCTGCGCAAACAAACGCTCACATGTTGTTGTCACATGTTGGTCTCCATGTCAGCCATGTGACATGGCTACAAGGAGACCAACTGCAAAATATATAAATTAAATAAATATCACTGGCCCTCTAGACGAGTGACAAGCGAATTCGCCGATGGAATCGATATCGCATGCGAATTCGTGAGACAGAAAGAGATAGCAACGTCAGATGTCTTATTCCAACTTATGGGCTCTCTAGCGATGTCGATTCCATCGATAAATTCGCTTGCCACTTGTCTAGAAGGACTAGATATATTAAATAGCCATTTATGTTATTATTATACACACATATTATTACTGCAGTGTGGTCCTGACATAGAATGGGCTACCCCTTCTAGGAAGATTTAATGGTCGAGGGATAAGCAGCAACATCCCACTTAAAACATCACTAAAGTCTAACTATGACGACTAACCCGCCTGCCATGGGGGGAAAGGGATTGTTAGTAATGGAGACTAAAAATCCCATTACTAGTAATATATTCAACCAGGTCGACCTCCTCATGGTTCGCCCTGGAAACTATCATGATTAATTCCTGATGAATTCATCATGATGGGCTAACTAGCCTGTTTTCATTCTCATCTATCACCATTCACCGGTGCTCCGCTAACGTATCCCGTTAGCGCATTCCATTTTTACCCATAAAAAAAACCAAGAGTTGCCAAGAGTGGCAACTACTGGAAAACCTCTCCCTATGGAGGCAGCCTATGTTCAGCAGTGCGCAGTTAATAACTGATATAATAATAATCACAACACCGTCTAGTCTCCAACTAAGCAGAGCTTGCTACGCTATGCTTGTTGTTGCTATAGATACATATTGTACTAAACAATGGACAGACACATATAACATTTTTTTTTATGAGTAATTACACTCATCTTTATAAAAGAAAATACATTTGTGTCATTTCCACAAGTTTTCTAAGAATTTTCTTGCATATATTCAAATTCAATCAACTGCCAATAATCTTCAATATTAAACATTATTTTTGTAATTAGCTTCCAACTTGGATCACTGTGCATGTCATCGTTACCATGATACACTAGAGAGAAGTAATACTCACACACTTTACTCTGTAGATGGGAACATGTTCTAGTCACATTCAAATACCACATAAATTAGGAAAATAACAAATATTATGGTATAATAATTATCACTTACTGTCAAATAATAATATATGGAAAAAAAAGTTTTTTTTTTTTAATTTTTTATCATAAATAAAAAAAAGACAATATAAAAAAAATCTGTTTAAGTTTGTGCAAATGAAGTTCCTTTATAGGACACCTTTAAATTAGCAGGCCTATTTTGAAATATCCCATTTGGACCCTATAGCACAGAAAATAAAAATATGTTTTCAATAATTTCCATAGCATTAGTGGCTGCTGTAATATAAAGCAGTGACAGATGCACAAAAATGCAAAATAAGGATCCCTTTGCATCTTCTTGTTATGAAACCCTTAAAATTACAAACTTGTCAAAAAGTTTATTTGTGACAAAGTATCAGTTAAGACTATTAGATTTCACCTTCAAGAATGTCATATATAATACATTTGTGGTACAATGAAATATACTAAAATGTTAGCAGTCACCTGCACCATACTACAATGCATAGGTAACAAGAATATTATAAACATGAATTAATCACTTGTACTGTTTCATTATTCACAAAGTAAAGAACTGTGTCATTAGTGAATCATCAAGCATTCAATCAATCTCAGCCTGACACACTTTCATTTCTTTGATGAGTCATTAAACTCTATGACAAAATAAACAAAGTACCACATAGATGTAGCACATCCTACCATGATTATAAATTTAAAAGTTTATGTATATATGAATGCAAACAGCACACAAATGCAGTGAAATATGGTACATGAGAGACAGGATAAATTATGCCCTAACTTAAAACAGGACACATTATAATAACGTTTCAGATGGATGAAGCACACACATACAACCACAGCCACTGGATACTGTTAGTTAATCAGTTAAAAATAATTAATATAAAAAAAGTTACTAAAAAATATAATTTGATGTCATCATTATTGGTATATACTTCCATTATATTGACATATATTAACTAATTTATAACGTTAACTATAATTCATTTGTAATGTTATTTTTATTTTATAATTTAAACCTCATTATTATTATTTATTTTATTAATTTCAATATTATAATGTAAATATTGACTTGTCATTGTGTGACGAAAACTGTTACATTGGTTAATAAAGAAATATGAATAATCATAAAACACTGTGATTGTACTCCTATGAGAGATTTGGGATCTTTCCAGAGAGTCTTTGAGATAGATTCATTTTTATTTAAATAGTTCTGAATGACAAAGCTGTGTGCTGTTTTAAAGCCAGATTAAAACTTTACAGAATACAATGTGTTGTGCATGGCATGGTATGCTTTGCCATTCTTGAGAACAGATTGTTTTTAATGGGTAAAAATGGAATGATAACCTCACCTGTACTGTATTGGTCAGAAGGAAAAAATAGGTGATGATGAAAGTAAGTTAGTTAGTTCATTGTTTAATTTAACAAGAATTAATCACAGTGGTTTCCAGGAGGAATCATGTGATGATTGACCTGATAGGATAAATTGTTAGCAATGGGATTTTTAGACCACCATTTTAGAACTTTCTCCCCGAAAACAAATGTTAGGCTTCCATACCCTGTCATCTCACTGTCATATCCCAACCTTCAAACTGGAACACAGCCATGCAAATACAACTGTTAGGCAATAGAAAGACAAGTGGGATAGAGGTACCAAAGCTGATGACATTTAGATAAAAATGCTATACTCTAGAGATAATTTTTTCATATTGTTATAACAAAATAAAAATTGGCAATCTGAAAGGAAATTTCAGAGACCCTTTAGTTAGTTATCTTTTTGTCCTCTTCTCATATTTGGTACAGCTTAATATTTTAATTACATTTGTTCCGATAGAAATTTCTAGATAAATAAAATTTCATACTTGTGGGTCACTGTGTGTGATTAGTCTAGCTAAGATAGAGGGCTCTACTGTGTCCCACTGCATACAATGATCTACAGAAACTATTTCTCAACTAACACAAAGACATTAAACATAAAGGATAAACTGTACAGTTTTATTAACCTACTTGTATAGATTAATGGAGTCACATACACAATTACAGATTGCCTATGCTATATAAAAGCTAAATAATAAAACGCTGCACTGGTTGCATTAATATCAGATGGTAGCGAAACGGGAACTCACCTGAACTGAACATCCTTCCGAGCATGGTGTTGGGATGGGCGGTGAACTGCGCGGGGTCTACCACGAATCTTGTGTTGTCCACCACCAGTGTGATCCTGTCGTCGCACAGTTGGTACTGGGCCTTACCAGCCCTCGAGGGCTCCTGGGTGGACGTCGAGGGTGTGGGCGTGTTTGGACTCGGCATCTTCGGGGGCATCGCAGCACGAACGCGAACGTTTGGCCCGTTCCGCTTGGACAGCCGCTTCCTGCGTTCCTCCGCGTACTCCTCGGTGTCGCTACTGCTATCAGGATAAAAGAATGGTCTACGATTGTCGCTCATGCCCTGCGGGCCGTCAGCTTGGGAGTCGGACATATGCGCTCGCTCGTCCCCGCAGGCCCTTACATCACGATCGACGCTGCTCTTTCTCCGGGACACTCGCGTATTCGATTTTTGATCCGTTATTATTGTTATAACTTGTAACGAGGTGAGTAAATTTTCTAGACTTTTTATTTGTTTGGAATTATTAAACGTCAGCCACGGACGAATCACGAAATGACAGTTTGACGATACAATATTGCCATAATATAATACGTCACTATCACATATAGTATTTTTATTATTATTCTATATTATTCATATTTCCGAATCTTACACGTACTTCATATTATTGCGTAATATTTGTCATTCATAATAAATAATGGAAAATATAAAAAATTGTAATCAGAAAGCAGTGGTGTACAAAATCTACACAAAATTTTCTTAAATAGTAGACTGCTGAATATTACTTGGCAACACAGTTAAGACGTGCGAAAAAATCAAGAAGAATCCAATGAATGAAACGGCTGTTGACCTTTTCACTGTCAAGTCAAATGCGAAAATTTGACTAATTTGGTGTAGTCTCTTTTTTATACAAACTCATTAAAATTTGATACCTACATGTCGTGCTGTGAATAATATGTGATAAAACTAAGTGAATGTGAAAGCTGTGACGTTCGAACTAGTTGCAACTCATCAAACTTGTTTCTGCGCCTCCGAAGGGCGTTATAGGTTTTTTTTTCTATCAATAAAGTTATATATGGATCACGAAGAGGAATACCATGATCCCGACTACGCTGGCACATCGGCGAACGCCAAAGAAGAGACCACGAGCCTCTCCGAAGAGGAAAAAGTGGAGAAAATACGAGCTGTCATTCGCCGGGAATTCAATAACGAGTTGGAAGTGAGAGAAAACGAGATAATGCTGATTGACCAGCGGTACGTATTACATATAAGCATTATGTAGTTATAAAAAGTAAAGAAATGCAGAAAAATTTCATTTATAACCGCCAAAAGCCAAAATAGAAACATGTGGTTTTTTGCACGCGCGCAACAATTTCGCGTTGTGGGTGATGTTTTTCGGCGATAACAATACAAACAGAGGCACAAGCACCGTTATCGTGGTGACTCATGGTTACTTAGAGCCAATTATGTACATCTACAAGAGTAAAATGGGGATATGCAGTGGAAAAACATTTCTATTTGTTAAAAAAAAAATAAGTACACATTTGTGTTGATATTTTGACAAACAATACAACCTACTGCAACTATATTGTTACAGTAAGACAAATATTTTACTTGTTTAAAATTAAATTAAAAAAGCAATTACAAATTAATTTGAATGTGGAATAACCCATTTAAGCTGCTTCAGGAGGTTAATTGACCTGTTGTTACACACTGCCTTTCTCTCCACTTCATCTTTTTGTATACAACTTTGAATGGCAAACAGTGTCTGACCTCATGGAAAATGTTAGTCCACTGTAGGATTCAATATACATTATTATATATTAAGTATGAATAATTAAGAAAATGCTTACAGCAGCCGCTTACTGCAGTTTGGTTATTTTATTTAAGGCCTTTTATTATTATGTCCTATAAAAAGTCTGCAGCTCTAAGGTGCGATGTAAATTAAATAATTACCTTACCCATACTATATGCCAACAGACTATCAATGATAGGTGAGAATGAAGTCGGATCATTTGGTCCAACATGGTCAATCCACTAGGAATTAATTAGTGGTTTCTTGAAAGGGCCATCTGTAAGTTGTTCTGAGATAATGTTTTACTAGCAATGGACTAATAATCACTGTTACAATTACTTTCACCCTGTTAACTCTAAATGTGGCCACTTGAAATCATCAAGGCCTAGAAAATATTAATTTAGTACAATTGTGGCAATAGCTGTTTTAAATTTGCAACAAATCGTAAGTAAAATTAAGATGGAAACCCTAAAAAAACACAATAAATATGAGATTGAGGAAATTTGATCTAGTCTAATATTTATTAAGTTCTAAAACAAACGGATGATAGCAAGACAGAGTATAACAAAGATATAACTTGACTTACTGTTTAGCTGCGGCCTTAAGCTGTCCAAGTGATCCTGTTATTGATATTTCCCTCAGTATAAACCCTATATATACTGTTAATTTTCCAATGATCTCATTAAAAGTCAATTAACAGTTTACACTAATATTGTTACTGAACATATTATCATTAGAGTAATAGTCAATAGTCATTACTATTGTTTGATCATGACAAGCCGCACTCCTTGTGGACCCTGCCCTACAGATAATAAAAGTGAATTTTATTTTAAACATTTTTGTCTAGCATTTGTATAATGCTACCACCCAGATACAAATTCAAATCCTCTTTATTCAAATAGACTTTGTTTGTAAACACTTTTAAATTGTCATTTCTTATGAATATAAGAATATAAGAAATTCAACAGTTACTCTTTTTAAATCTCTGTTAACATTATGTGTATTTATTTGAATGTACTATGTTTAAAGTTACATGGTCGTTAAAAAGCCCGCGCATGATTATTTGTTTATTGTATAATAGAGTTTATTCAATAAGTATAGATTGTAATAAGATGGAGATTTTATATAAAGTTGTGTGCATAAGTGCCTTTTGCCCATCCTCTATCATCTGTTTATTTCATCAGATAGGATGTCAGTTTGTTTGCCATCTAAGTATGATAAAAAAATTAATTTGAAATGCAATTTTAGCTGTGAAAAATGGGCAAGAAACTAAAGTTTTTTTAAACAAGTTGAATTTTACTGGTACAATAGGATGAGTCCAAACTAGGATTGTTATATTTTATTTTATTTGGTGTCTCAGCAAATAAAGAAGTTAGAAGAAAAAAAGTAGAGAAGGTCATAGCATTAGTCATAGCATTTAAGGATCAGTACTTGACAAGTTGTTAAAGCTCTACAGTAGCGAGGTGTAAACAAGTTACCTAACATAAGTCTCTATGTAATAATCTGCTGAATAAACAAAGCAACTCCAAGACTTCATAGCCTGTTCCCAAAGGAATTCTATTCTTACTGAATGCCTAGGTCTTAAAATTACACTTTCAATTTTAAGATGCCCATCAAAGGTAGAAGGAATCGTTTGTAACAAAATCTCATTACCTGCATATTGCATGGTCTGTTTTTTTTTTATGGGTAAAAATGACATGGTAACCCTGCCTGCGCTATCGTTATACACTGGCGGTGCATCAGTGAGAGGGGAATAAGTAAGGATGAAAGGGCAGGTCAGTTAACCCATCGTGATGAATACACCTGGAATTCAGCACGATGGTTTCCGGAAGAACCACGGGCAAGTTAAGCTGACTGAGTATATTGCTAGCAATGGGATTGATAGTCCGCATTACTAATAATCCCTCAACCCCCCCCCCCCCCCCCAGTGGTTCTTTGACAACCTGTGAGACTGGTTGGTAATTTTGTTTACAAATGTTGGTACAGGATGTGCACGTCGCGCCGCATCCTGCACCGGTTGCGGTACGTGCTGGTGGACAACTACTACCACGACCAGAAGCTGCGCCTCACCGCCGCCCAGGTGGAGGACGAGGTCGCCGCGCACCTCGACCCGCGCGCTCGAGCCGAGGTTTGATACCTTTATGTTAACGCGACATGAGGTCACACGGCCCTGACTATACACCATACACCGACGGTTTGTCTGTCAATAGCTGAATGAATGCTCCTAAAATATCATCTTCATCATTTGGTATCTCCTAAGTTATCTATAGAACTAACTTTTTGTCCACTACTGGGCTCTCATGGTTTGCAGAAGTAGAAATATTAATGAAATTACAGGGTACAGAGGGATAATGCCTCCTATACAACAGTATATAGCTGCTACCCCTCCCTCGGTCATAAAGCTGCCTTAGGCGCTCTTACGACATTCACAAGTATTGACAATCGATGGAGAAGAAAAATTTAGGATGTAGGATGACGTAATGTAGGATGATCCCCGATTAGTCGGAGCGACGACCTCAAATGCATTGCAGGGAGTCAGTGGATGCAGGTGGCTCGGGACCTTTCTTTATGGCAGTCTATGGGGGAGGCCTATGTCCAGCAGTGGACGAATAATAGCTGAAATGATGATGATACATAATTTTAATGATAATACGTACGATTTTATCACCTTCCACAATTGTATGTTCACCAGGCGTCAGCCGTGCTGCGAGATGGCCAGAAGCGCCTACATCCCTCCGTGAGGAAACTGCTCGGCAAGAAGACTGTGGACCTCGACGAGATATTTCGCACGAGAGGACCGAGAAACAAGACTAGGAAAAATTATTCGGTGCGTATGTTTGTTGAAATCCTTGATTTTGTATTGGCTGCTGTTTTAATTGTTTTAGCTTTGGGCATTTGTTCTTTTACACGTGGTTTTGATGATTAAGATTACGTTTGATGGTAAGAGGTCAGCGCCGTCCATTGGATTTCCCATTGGACGTCGCTGCATCGTGAGGAATTCATCAAGAAATAACCTCAGTGGTTTTCAGTGAGCTGAGGTTGACATGACAGGGTCGGGGGGAAGGGATTGTCAGTAATATCGGGGGATGGGAGGTGAGTCCCCGTTGCCACCTACATGTGGTTCCCTCTGGGAACTATCGTAACTAATTTATCGTTGAATACGTCACGATGGACTACCTGACCTGTCTTTTCATCCAGTCTGCCAGATAACACAGGCGGGGTTACCATACAATTATCGTATTATTACATGGTGTCGGCAGGCGATGGTCCAGACCCGCAACTACACAATATCAGCCGACCGCTGCAAGTCCATGCGGCCGGAGGAGCCGCCGGGGCCGGAGGCGGAGCCCGAGGCGGCGGCGGCGGGCAGCAGCCGCCCGCGCAAGCTGCCGCGACACATCGAGCCCAAAGCGCAGAATGTGTGCACCCTCGACGTGGCCACTAGGAATAAGATGAAACATAGATATAGGATTATTATTGGTGAGTGACACCTTTTTATGACTCGTTCATTATATTGTAAATGAGCTGATCCCACTACATCGTTTTCGCTATCAGTAGTTGATTGACTCCGAGTGGTCTATGTTCTTCACCTTAAATACTGTGTGTATGATTAGTTGTTAATACATCAAAAGATTTAAAAGTAATTGATATTTTTGTGACAACTGTGTACGGAGTATATGATTTGAATCTATCATACAGTGTCAACCATTTAAGAATACTTACTGTTTAACATAAAGAAATAATTAAATGTTATTACCAGAGGGAGTTTCTGTGCAATAGTTATCAGGTTGGGTACCTGTATTTCATTCTTATTGCTTTAAAGCAGTTGTGTTTGCATGGCCGTATTTCGGTTTGAATGGTGGGATGTGGCAGGGAAGTTACGGGGTACAGAGGCACAACACATTAGCCCTCGAAATGGCAACACATAACGGGTATGGTGGACGATACAGTACACTCTGTTACGTCTACGGGGCTGTTGATACCTGTAGGTGACGGTTACCGCTTCCAATCAAGTCGTCCACTCGGCGGCATCTGGGAAACAAGACACTACAGTGTTTAATGTGGCCCGATGTCGCACGGCATGGCTGGGCATGCGATTGTAAGCGGTGCGAGTGTGTGTATGTGTGTATGTGCGTGTGTGGCGCAGGCAACACGTCGAAGTACGCGCCGCCGGCGTCGCGCGCGGACCGGGCGACGCACACGTGGCTGCTGTACGTGCGCGGCGCGCCGCCGCGGCCGCAGCTCGGCGCGCTGCTCACGGCCGTGCGCGTGCGCCTGCACCCGTCCTACGCGCCGCACCACACCGTCGTCGTGCAGTGAGTACGCCGCCGCCCGCTGCACGTGCCTACACGCGCCTACACGCGCCTACACGCGCCTACACGCGCCTACACGCGCCTACACTCACCACCACCACCCGCGCCTGTGTTGCAGCAACCGCACACCACCACCCAACAAACGTACACCGTGTGTATATTCCACGACCATGTGCCGGCGCGGCTGACAAGTTTGGCGACTTAAGTTCCCGGCGCTGAATATTTTTAAATTTTATATTTTTATTTTGTTTTTTTGATATCTGACAATGTCATGTTTCGTTATTGTATTTCTCTCGACCTAGCAGCCCGCTTATTATTTCATAAAATATACGCCTCTCGTGCACTCGTTAAAAACCATCTTTTTTATTTATTGCTGGACCGCGACTACAAAACACCGGCTGATACTATATGCAGACGCTCAAAACAGAAATTTTATTAACAAAAATTACAACACATACAATAGAGAAAATACAATATAATAGCAATATACAATATAAATATACATACATGAATACTTTAAACAAATATTACATAAATATACATATATAAATATCTTGCTTATTAATTTCAATTTATTTAATATCAAATAACAAGGTCCATTTTGTTAGTAACAGACTTAACATTAATTAAGTACATTAATTGACATGAAATTGTATTTGATGAAGAATTGTTAATTTAGTACTTGGGTATTTTAAATATTGCATGTTTAATTGTGGCGAAATATGTAGACTTAATATTATTTTATCTATATGTACATTTTCCTATATTTACCATATTTCTTGCAAATAAATATCCATTTATTCATTCAATTATGTCATTAAAAAAGTTTAAAATTTAGCTGTTATTTACCTGCGAGGCATCCGATCAAGACGGCAACAAACTAGCAAATAGTTTATTTTGTGTTCGTCATCGTCCTGGCGAGATGCTCCATCATAGGTACGTGGACATCCTCAGCTATTATTTTAAGGATTGTGTCGTTACTCCCCCGCATTCTTTTCACTATGCGACTTTCTTATGAATGATAACATGGAAACCATTAATCCGTGCTTGCGCGAACATTCTAAGGCGCTACAAAAGCGTGAAAGTTTAAACACCATCCTGAAGAAATTGTTTACAGGGCACGTAGAGCATCCAGCGATTTTTCAGCATGCCTGAACCGTAGACCGTAGGTGTAGAGATTAATGCAAATCAAAATTGTTTACATTTCAGGAGCGGAAACAATAGTAGACGTGTGGCTGTACAGCTCACCGGAAATGTTGCAGTACGAATACATAGAGGAAAGTACGGACCCGCCACCCGAAATACCAGCTGAGCAGCCAGAGATAAAGACTGAGGTCACAGAAGAGAATACAGACTGGATGAACTTCTTCAATAAAGAGCCCACCGAGTTAGACGTCGACGCGATGATCATTAAGCCTAAGAAAGAGAAAGAGACAGAAGAACCACCAGTAGATGCTAATATGGAGCAACAAGAGTTGATAGATAATGATAATAAACCGAACGAATGCGAAGAAAACGATTGGGGCACGAACTTGAATTACAAATCTATAGAGGCGCCCACGGACATACCAAACGAGATCCTCAACCAACCGTCCTCGCTGAAGAAGAGAATAATGAAGTACATAGACCCTACGACGGGGAAGATCTACTATTTAGAGGTCGACAGGACGCTAGATTTATCGAAAGTACAAGAAATAGTCATTAACAATACAAAGACTGCAAAAATAAGTCCGATCAAATCGAACGGTTTGAAGAACGTCAGGAGAAAGAAGGGCGTGTCGCTACTGAAGCCAGAGGTCCAGAGTTTGTTAAGGAATGAGAGCAAAAACCGGGAGTACGCGCATATAGAAAACGACCACTGCTATTTAGGTTCCAATTGGAGGAAATCCGTGAGTTTTTGTGAAACGCAAATGTTGAAGAACCAGCGGCTTTTCGAGGAAGTGGTTGTGAAGGAGGAGACGTCGTTATACGATTGGCTGTGCAGGGCGGTAGTTCGCTTGACCGACGTGCGGATGGCGGTCGGGTATCTGTTGAAGAAGATACCCCTCATAAGTGAGGAGGCGAGGGACCCTGACTTCCTGAAGTGTTTCCCGTTTGTAGTCGAGGACGAAAAAAAGTATTGGAAGTTAGATTTTGCTAAACGGAGAAATATTGAGGTAATTATTTCTTGTGATGCTTAGAGTGGCGTAGAAGTCAAGGCCATTGCCTATAAACACGATAGTACCATTAATATCACGGAATGCTCTGTGATAATTGCCATTTTTGAGGATTTTTTTTTAAGTATAAATTATTATGTAAAGTATAGCTAACGTTATGAATGGGAGTTTGTTACCTCTTATTGCATTGACGGCGTCATTAAATGTACAATTTATATATGTATGTACACAGCATTGCTGATGAAAAAGGGTTTGCAATTAGCGAGAGTTTGATTCCATATGCAATTGTTATCGCTAGATGACACTACATAATTATAATAGCTTAAGAAAAATCGTAATTTTCGAATATAAACGAAGAGAGAAAGAAATACAAGAGTGACACTGTATAAAAACGATAAAATTTCTATAAATGTATTCTAAAAACAATGTTGATTTTTCCAGTGGTCAAGAGCGAAGCTTATAAACAAAATGCTGACGGAGCATCTACCCACAACGGAACAGATCTGGCGGACGAAGCAGATCCTGGTGTACTCGCGGCTGCACGGCTACTACGAGCTGCGGCCGGAGGCAGCCGCGCCCGCGCCCGAGACCGACGAGTGGTCCTCCTGGAACGACCTCGAGCATTCCAGGAAGATGGAGTCCAACATCCGCGAGATATACCCGAACGCATCCGATATATCCAGCCTTAGTGTGTTTAATAGTGAATTGTTTGAAAGTGGACTGTCAGAGTCGATGGAGGTGACGGACTCGGATGAAGAGGTGGACGTAGTGAAGTGTGAGCGGTCAGTGACGGTTAAAAGGGAGCCGCCCTCGGACGGGGACAGTGGACTGACAGTGTTACCTGTGGAGGACGAGGAGGACAGACTCAAGTTTATGTTTATAGAAAGGAAGTGCGCCGACATAGGTATTGAATTGAGGAACGAAGATGTGGGAAATGGATATTCATATAGGTGAGATAATTTTTTATACCGTTTAGGTTTTTTGACGGAATGTGGATATAAATCAACAGTACCATGGACATAATAGATATACTGTGTCGCCCATGATACTCTTCATGTATTGAAAGATTTACAGAATACACAAGTGAATATAATGGTGAAATCTTCACAATAAAGAATAACTTCAATCACCACAATATATGGAACACGGAAGTGAACCTTATTGCAAAAAGAATTATTAAAATCGATTAATCTTTTTCTTATCTTTTTTCACTTTGCATTTGTGTCTTTTGCTGTTTGTGTGCTGCAAGTGATGCAAATAAATTATCTATCTATCTTATTTATCTATTAAGAATTAATAACGAAAATAAGCAACTATGTTTGCAATTCATCAGCTAAATCAGAGTAAGAAAAATTATTCATGTAGGATTTTTTGCGACTTACGTAGTAATTTTTTCTCCAATCATTCGTTTAACAAACAGTTCCAGCTGAGTACAGTCCAAGAATTCGGTCGTCTACTGTATTTATCCTAGGAGGAGGCTCTTACTAATTATGTGAACTATGGACTGCAAACAATTTGCTGGAGGTTGTGAAATACTATAAAAAATATTTAAAATCTTAGCTAAATTTCACGTAGGGGGGATGTTGTTAATGGATGATAATGTAATGGTAACCCCGCCTGCGCTAACGGTATACACTGGCGGGGCACCAGTGATTGATAGATAAAGATAAAAACAGGTCAGTTGATACATCATGTCGAATTCACCAAGAATAAATGATCAATCTATTGTTGAATAGGCGACCGGAAGACGACTGGTGTTGCCCAATCGAGGGCCGATCAATCTATTATTTTAGTAATAGTCTTAGGTCGTTGATCTTACTTTATGTTGCTTGCACTCTATCCCCAAATACATATACTTTGTGTCGTATAGAGCGGGCATCCCGCCACCCGTTTTAAAATAGCGAGGACAGGATGTCTGAAAAAGTGCACCTCCAACTACTAAAAATAAATTCAATATAATATTGTTTACGGTGCAAACTGCATGCCAAGTGTTTTGTGGTACAGCGCTGTGCACGCGGCGCTGTGCGCGGCGACGCGGTGCTTCGCGGACGAGCTGCTGCGGTCGTCGCTGGCGCGCCCCCCGCGCCCCCCGCGCCGCCGCCCCGGGGACCCTGCCGCCCGTCTGGACCGGGTCAGGCTCGCCTCATGTTATCTTATACATTCTCGTACACCAATGATATAATGAAATATCTAGCGATCCCCAAGGGATTTTGCGCAAAAGTCATTTGCTTGGGTATCTCTGTCCGTATTGCACAGCTCTTGACAGATTATTCTTTTTTTATGCAACTTAAAATGGTAAACAAGCTGACAGCCCACCTGATGGATAGTAGCAACCGTCACCTATAGATATGAACAGCACTGTGGATGTAATAGAGTATACTGTTTCGCCCATGATACCCTCAATGCGTTGCCATTCCTGAGCACTCAGGTGTTATTCCTCTGTACCCAGTAAATTCACTGCCATTCCCACCCTTCAAACCGAAACACAGCGATGCGAATACAACTGCTTCACGGTTGAAACACGAATGGGACAGAGCCCATGCAAACGACTTTTGTAGTCTCCTTTTGGTACGTCTATTAAATCAATTACGTTTTTAATAAATCCACTTTCTAACTTATTATCTACTTGAGGCGAGGATGAAAAATAATTTAGCCTATCATGGCGAATTTCATAAGAATTAACCATTGTTAGCATTAGATGTCAGATCTTTTAGATGCATGTTATGAAAAAATCTATGTTCTGTGACATGTCGAGCGCATTGTCTTTTGAAATAGATAGATAGATACTCTTTATTGTTTCCTCCATAAGATTACAATAGTAAACTTATTATAAATATAAACAATTACAAGAAATAATCACAATGAGAAATAATAAAACTATTCAGTTATATATTGGCATAATTCACAATACGTTAAAAAAAAATTAACAATCTATTTGGGACACTATGACACACATGGCGAAAACATATTCTCGTATTTTATCTTTTGTTTTATATTTACACTTTATATATATATATATATATATATATATATATATATATATATAAAGTGTAAATAATCTGATTGTAGGAACTCATTTGTTAATTTACGTGTGTCATGAATGGCTCAAATAAAGTGTTTATCTATCTTTTTTTTAATGGATGATAATGGAATGGTAACCCCGCCCGTGCTATTGGTATACGCCGGCGGGGCACCAGTCAGTAGGTGAGGCTGAAGCAGGTCAATTGGTCCATTGTGACAAATTCAACAAGAATTGGTTACGATGGTTTCCAGTGGGAATCACGGGAAGGTCTACCTGATAGGGTATACTGCTAGCAGTGGGGCTGTCAAACTCCATTGCTAACAATTCCTTTCCCCCTTATCTATCTATCTAACCATGTTGGTTAGAAGGGAAGGGATTGTTAGTCATGCGGGCTAACAGTCCCATTGCTAGCAATATACCCTATCAGGTCGACCTCCACGTAGTTCCCCCTGGAAACCGTCGTTCTGAATTCTAGGTGTATTTATCACGATGGGCTAACTAACTTGCCTTTTCATCCTCACCTGTCATTCCTCACTGGTGCCCCGCCGGCGTGTACCGTTAGCGCAGGCGGGGTGGCAGTGGGTGTGGTGGTGACGGGTCGTTTTGCCGTCCGGCAGATGGGGCGGCGGCGGCGCGTCGCCGGGGCTGGAGCACGTGTGGGCGGCGTGCGGCGCGGCGCGGCGCCGCCTCGCCGTGCTCGCCGCTACACACCGCGCCGCACGGTCGCATCGTCCGCATCGTCCGCATCCGCTGTAATACACCGCCTCCACACGCTGTGCGCTCTTTCATTTACACCTCCCTGTCTAACCTACCTACCTACCTACCTACCTACCTATATATACATAGCCGTACACCGCGGCTTCGCTCCTGACCGTGTCACGGTGTTGAATAACATATAACCTTCAAGAGTTGTCAAATACGGTTAAAATCTTCAAATCCAATATGCACTATTTTATAATTGTGAATATTCGAGTAATTCTAAAGATAGCAGCTGGAGGCGCGTGTCCACTGTTGCTGACGCGCTGAACATGACACTCGACGTCCGTATTTTTTTTTTCAACAAACTATACCTCAATTCGCTATATAACCGTCATATATATATATATATATATATATATATATATATATACATATATAATATAATATAAGAATTTTATATATCTATATATATATATAATATATAAAATTCTCGTGTCACGGTGTTTGTTACCAAACTCCTCCGAAACGACTTTACCGATTTGCATGAAATTTTGTGTGCATATTGGGTAGGTCTGAGAATCGGCCATTTTTTATACCTCTCAATGATAAGGGTGACCCACCCCTAAATTTTTTTTTTTTTATTTTCTTGACAAAATTTTTAATTGTGTTTTAAATATGATTTAGCATTGAAAAGTACATACAACTTTAAATTTTCATCGTTTTACAATCAACCCCTGTATTTTAATCACGATTTTTATATGTCGCAATAAGGTATAAACCTAAAATACTTTTTAAATCGAATATAACTGGTTTTGCCACAATTAGTCTTTTAACAACCCTAATAATTAATTTTTTAAATTGGACAATGAACCAGCAGAGAAAACAAGTAAACCCTTCCATATTTAGCCATTATTTAAGTTCATATTGGCGAGATAGCTGCGTCAGAGATCACTTGCAGTATCTATTACAAACAAATAGGATTAACTTGTGCTCTGAATATTGGTAATTGGGGGTCTTTTGCTTCTAATTTTAAGGCATCATTTCAGCCATTACCCGTCCACTGCTGGACATAAGCCTCCCCCATAGACTGCCATAAAAACCAATCCTGAGCCACCTGCATCCACTCACTTCCTGCAATGCATTTAAGGTCGTCACTCCATCTAGTGAATCAATCAATTTTAAGGTATATTGAATAAAAATAATAAAACACTATTTATAGTCAACATTTTATTTGTCTCCGATGCATAAGAACCGTTGCGCTTCACTGTTGAAACTGAATGATAAGAGGAACTCGCGCGAAATACTAAAAAGTTTGATAATTTTTAAAACTACCCGCATAATCTAAAAAATATCTATTAAACAGGCTTAGTCATATAGAGGACCCAACGACAGTGAATTTATAAAATTTTGCAATTTTCAAGGAATAGAAGCCGTTTGTATATTTAATTATTGCACTAAAACATACATATAATACGACTTATTACATATAAGTCGCTATGTAGAAAGAAGGAAACTTCTCCGACTGGAGAACATAGGCTGCTTTTCATGCCAGTCACGCGGACAAAGTCGCCAGTAAAAACTAGTCATGTATATAAAAACAAATAAAGTTTTAAAAATAATAACAGTTAACTAGATAAGTATTTTCTAAGCACATCCAACCTAGATCTTATCATCGCTTGCCACCACGCGAGGTAAGAGGAAGTTTAGGAAAACAAACAGTTTCCGCTACAGTAGCCGACGTCAAATTCAACAGCCAAGCGCACCGATAACACAACTAAATGAATTGGCTACATAATTAAATTAACTTTATACAATTACGCTGTGGCCCGATTCACGTTTTGCAGTTCTCCGTTCAATGTTACCAACTATGTAATTCGGATAATTAGAAAAAAAAAATATATATTATTTTAATTATTTGAAATTGGAATTCGAATTCCGAACATAATCATTATTGGCGCGAAAACATGACGCCATGTTGTATTTTACTGGTTTCTTCTTGTCTCCTAGTGAGACTGTGATAAATAATACGTATACAACATATACTATAGGAAGAGCACTGGCCTCGGTGTGGCAAGAACTTAGTAAATAGGTGAATTGATGAAATATGGTTTTATGGTTGACGTTAGGCAGGTGGCCGGTCGTAAAACTAAAAACCAAGTCTTTTTGTAATATGGACAAAATCATATTACGCCGACCACAAATTATTGGTTGATAAGGGTAGGAAGATGATGATGAAATATGGTTTTACATTTTTTTTTAACGAGTATGCGGTTGGCCTGGTTGTGATTACCGCCACCCATAGACTAGAGACACGCACAACATCAGGAGAAATTGCCGGCGTTTTAAGAAGGAATATTCTCTTATTGATATTTGATATTTAAAAGTAGTTCTGTAAAAAAGGTTCGTATTAGCCAAGTGTAACATTGAAAGCCTTATAATTATAGCCAGATATAGGGGCCGATTCTGAAGTGCCGTTTTTTTATCTCTTATATTTTAATTTAATAATTTCTCGAAATTACTGTTCTATGGACCACCACAAACTATATTTATAATAATTTTGACGTAAATCTATTAGAAAATTAGTTCATACTTATCTTTACGTAAGAATTTAGCTGTAATATCAAACTGAAATTTTAATTAGAGATATATCCAGCAGCAGTATTTCCGAGCCGAAACCACATCATAACCTTCAAAAGAGCATATTTCTTTTTAAAAGGCCGGCAGCGCACCTGCAATGCCTTTGGTGTTGTGGGTGATCGTGGGCGGCGGTAGTCACTTACCATCAGGTGAGCCGTATGCTCGTTTGCCCCCTGTGTTAGAAAAAACAAGATAAATTTAGAGAAATCGGCTATATGATTTATTTTACTTTATAGGCACCGCTCCCTAAACAGGTATCACTGATAAGAACATTTCAGAAGCATACGGCCCACCCTTCAGGCAGAATGCTTGGAACGTCTGAGGCGTCAAAGGTCTAAGTTCATTATACCCAATAATGAACGTTACTTATCGACAGATATACAGGGTGAAATTAAATTAAGTTAATAACATTTTAGATGTTACCATTGATTGAACATTTCCGAAGAAACGGTTTGAAAAACGAGACAAAGCGTCCGGCTGTTAGATCAATATGGAAGGCCCAAGATTTTAAAAGAAAAAGGACACTACCGTAACGGGATGTAAACGGTTTCGGCTTCACCTTGAGACATAAGTTCATATCTCCTATCCTTAGATTATATAGATAGAGTATATACATATAAATACTTCACTAAAAACAGGTCATATTTTTAACCATATGTGCGTGAATAGGGTTACCATAATGTACATTTACTACTCAGTGTATGGCAGAAATTATATTCTAAGGTTAAATTAAAAAATAATGATAAATTTGTCTGGACATGACCGACATTTTAATTTATATATGTATATTAATTTGTAACCAATACTAACATAAGTAATAGTTGCCAAATAAATTTTAAAATTTTTACTTGGTCTGGGAAATTTTAATCCAACTACTTGCAACACTAAATAAGGGGTGGGTTCGTCTATATTTAAAAAAATTCAAATGAGTCATTCAAATGTCAATTTAGTCGAGTAAATGTTAACACGTTCCTGACACGCAATGCTCTATCTATATAATCTAATCCTTTCATTTACTCGGATTGGGGCGTGAACGAGGTGGAAGACAATATGAAAGGGCTCAATTCATTCATTTTGACTTCAAATATAAATTAGAAATGGTATCTCTGGTTTTAAGCATCCTAAATGATACAGAGTAAGCAACCATATAGAGTCGCCAGTACCAAGGGGGGCAATTTACCCTAAGAACAAGGAATTACATAGAAGGAAAACTAAATGAAACGGCTGCCCTCTTTCTTCATAGCAAATATAATTAGTAAAAAGGGGACAAAAGGTGCACCATCAATTGCTTTTTTCTCAATTCATAGCAGGCTAGTGTATAGAAAATGTTTGATATGTCAATTATTTGTCAATGACAAATTTTACATTATTAGATTATATATTGGACACAGTTTATGCAGAAAGTATGCAAGCAGGTTGTATCTGAATTTGGCATAATTATACGACCAATAAAACCTACTGAAAACTAGCCTATTACAAATCGAGAAAAATGTACCTGATAGTATATCTCACGTCTTCTTTTTACTAATAATTTTAGCATAAAAAGAAAAGAGGCAACCATATGATTTACTGTTTATATTTTATCATTCCTTCTATGTAATTCCTTGTTCTTAGAATTTACCTATCGGACTGTGACTCCATAGAATAAGGATGCATACGCTCGGTCTGACACTAATGAACACAATTGATACTTGAACTAACAACTAAATCCTACAAACGTATTTTAACTATATGGTACCATTTGTCACTTTCTTTTAAATTAAACATTTAGCTCAAAGAAATTTTTGGGTTTTAATAGTCGTTTCTAGAAAATCTTATTTACTGTCTGGTCAAGCGGTCTCGGCTTCTAGGTGATCTAGAGATCGTGGTGAATGCCTGGTGAATTCATCACGACGGGCCTAATCTGACTTCAGCCTCACCCAGTCACTAGTACCCCGCCACAGTATACCGACAGCGCAGGCTAGGTTGTTATTCCATATTCATCCATAAAATATAGTAAACTATAAACCCAACTGTGTACAGAAAAAATAATGGTCGCTACATATTCATACTAGAGACTACCAATTTTACTCCCATGAATAGACTGCTAAAACCCATAGGTACGAGTGTATGGCAATTTTATATCAGCCGTTGACTATCTACTGCTGTCTACATAGCCTCTCCCATAAAGGAGGGTTTACCATTAGTTGCCACGCTTGGCAGGCAGGTTGGACGTATGCCAATAAAACATGATAATTAAGGCGAAATTTCACAATAGATGGCGCTGATATGGACAAATTGACAAAAGTATCTGAATTACTAAAGTAGCTAATATGCTACGGACGCGCCTGTTATCCGGTTGGAATAGGCGATGACCTGTTACCCCGTCGTCAATGTCCACACGAGTCCGATATATAGATATTAAAAGATGCTGTTATTAGCCAGACCTAGTGGTAAACATAAGTCCACATATTTCACTAAAAAATACATACGAATCGATCAAGTCGTTTTTGAGTTTTAGTGCTGTTAACAAGCACTATTTGAGTTATATATATATATATATATATATATATATATATATATATATATATATATATATATATATATATATATATATATATATATACAGTCTATTTACGCCAGTAGAGCAGCCTCCGGCCGTACCAACAACGCTACAAGGAAACTAATGCGTGAAACCAGGTTTTACTTATTTTTATTTGCTTAGTGTTGAGTGAGCGTCGCCTGCAAAATTTTCAATACACTTTCATTTGTACAGTTTTGTGTCCGCTGCGGGCGCCGCTAGCTCCGCCACCTGCGCCATCTGCCGGCGAATGTTGCTGCATTAGTATTTATCGAAGTGAAATGAAATTAATTAAATCAATTGAAATATATTGGCAGAAACCTTGTTGATAAGATGTTGCATTTATCAAGTTTACAAGATGTCCATCATGTTTCACCACATCAGACGGCATGCAATCTTTATACTCGTTTTTCTTTTTGATAGGTGAAAATGGTATGGTAGCCCCGCCTGCGCTATCGGTATACGCTGGCGGAGCACCAGTGAAGGGTGATAGATGAGAATGAAAACAGGCCAGTTAGCCCATCGTGATGAATTCATCAGGAATTAACCATGACAGTTCCAGAGGGGCGGTGGGGAGGGGGGGGCACGTGGAGGCCGACGTGGTCGTGTATATTGCTCGTACCTATGCGGGCGCGGGCTGCGCGGCGGGCGGCAGCAGCACGGGCGCGGCGGGCGCGGCGGGCGCGGCGGGCGTTGCTTGCGGTCCGGCCGCGGGCTCCTTGCTGGCTCGCTGCCGCTCATTCTTCACCTTCTCACCGTTCACGATCGCGCGGATGTCCTCCGCGTCCAGGGTCTCGTACCTGGAACGAACCCCGGTCGACTATTTAATGCGATTGCGGCAAACATAACTATTTCCTTTGAGTGCACTGAACTGAACCAATTGTTTAATTTTCCAAGCCAAAACATATAAGGTCATTAAAATAAGTAGATAGGCCCCGGTCCACTCTTGGACGCAAGTGGAGCTCTCAACTGTGTACAAGTTTAAAAGTATGTAAATGTGTCTCGTATAAAAGGGTTAGAACCAAAAAATAATCTTAAGTATGCTAGTGCCAAATTATTTTTTATATATTTATTCATTAGTACATATATGTATACATGGCGGGACTTGATGCTAAAAGCATTCTCTCCCAGTCAACCATAGGGAAGTGTCAGAGTTAAATTTTTTTTATAAAAAAATAAATTAAGATTATGATTCATAAACACAACGGACTTCAATTGTGGTAAAACTAGTTATTTCAATTTTAAAACTAAACTTCTGAGCCGATTCTGATAAAAATTTCTATGGGACCAACCTATGGGTATATCCTTTCATATGAGAAGAGAATTTTCCAAAAGAGTTTCCAACTGACGGAGTTGTGAGGTGACAAACATGAAAACATACAACGTAATTGAAAATTTCCTTTTTTTGAACGTAGTTGTAAGGAGTCCTACAGCCTCAATGGTCGTGTACTGCGCGATTTCAGACATGTTTCCTCCCACGAACACTCAAGTTGTGGAATGAGCTCCCTGCTGAGGTTTTCCCAAGAGACTACAGCATGGGGTTCTTTAAAAGGGAGGTAAAGAATTGTCTTCAGGATCGGCAATGCGCGCGTAATGCCTCTGGTATTGCAGGCGTTCATAGGCTACGGTAACCACTTACTATCAGGTGGGCCGTATGCTTGTTTGCCACCTCAGTGGTATAGAGAAAAAAAGAGCAGAGTATAGTTAGTAGAGAGGGTCAGGCGGGCAGGCGGGCAGGCGGGCAGGCGGGCAGGCGTATGCTTACTTGAGCAGCGCGTCTGCGAGCGCGCGGTGTTCGCGCGCGTGCGCCCGCAGGATGGCCTTGGCGCGCTCGTAGCTGTCCGCCAGCAGCCGCCGGATCTCGCTGTCCACCTGCCGCCGCACCACACCACCACACGCTTACCACCGCCGGCCTCTGCCCAGCGCTGGACATAGGCCCCCAATATATCGTGCCACTCGCTACAGCCCCATTGCTAGCAATATCAGGTCGACCTCCACGCAGTTCCCCCTCGAAACCATCGTCAACAATTCTTGTTGAATTCGTCACGGTGGGCTAATTGACCTGCTTCATCCTCACCTGTCATCCTTCATCGGTGCCCTAATAACGAGGGATTACCATTCCATTATCACTCATTAAAAAAAAGACACCATTCTATCACAGCCTCGGTCCACAGTCTATCTTTCCACCTAGCCAAGTGTCCTGCCCATACTTATATACATATATACACAATTGTACACATATCTTTTTTCTCATCCCTTTTAAAACATCATCAAAGCCCAACTACAGTTACCAACCCTCCTACCAAAAGTGGCAACTAACAACAAAGGCCTATGTTCAGCGGTGGGTAGACAGCTGATACGACGGTCTCTTTCAATACAGCTACATGAAAATGTGAACAAAAAAGTAACTAATTGATCTTTAAGATAATTTTATTGATCTCCAATAACAGTCTAAACAAAAAATCGATTTAACATTTCATGTAGGTACAGAAGTTTTTTACGATATTTTTAACAAAACTTGTCCACATTTTCATTAACTTCTATTAAAATTTACCAAGTATACGTACTGTCCAAAACAGATTCAATGTAAGAGAGGGACAGTACATGTGAAGGAAATAATTTAGAAGTGAAAAGAAGGAGCATGTGTATAACACGAGGAAATGATCGATATTATTGTAAGGATAATGAAAGCGAGTGTAAGGTGGATGAGTGTGAGTGACTGCTCTTCACATTTACACTTTATATATTACATTTAGGTTATGGAATGAGTTCCCTGCCAAAATTTTCCCAAGAGACTACAGCATGGGGTTCTTCAAAAAGGGGGTAAAGAGGTTCCTTCAGGGTCGGCAACGCACGCGTAATACCCCTGGTATTGCAGGTGTTCATAGGCTACGGTAACCACTTACCATCAGGTGGGCAGTATGCTTGTTTGACACCACAGTGGTTTAAAAAAAATTCAATTTATAAGTGAGACAGACGTGTGTGTAAATGCGATGAATCAGTATAAATGCGAACGGGAGGGGGGAGTAACTGAGAGGGACGACTGTAAATGTTAGATAGATAGATAGATAATTTATTTGCATTACTTACAGCACACAAATTACAATAAATGATTAAAATGTTAAGGAGTCAGGTGTTGTCTATGAGAGAAATGATTGTAAACGTTAGGGGGTTGAGCATAGCCTCGTGTATCTGGGGGGCGGGGCAGCGGGAGGCCAGGGAGGGAGTGTTGGAAGTAGTGGGAGTAAAGGAGAGGTGCGGAGCAAAAATGTGGAAGAGCGTAGAAGAGTCTTAGGAGAGTACTACGCTCTTGATGAGGAGGAGCTCGACACCGAGCGCACGGCGTCGTCTCTGTCACTCTTTTCAGAGTTTGAGAGCGATGTCGCAGGCGAAGGGACGTCTTCAAGACCAGTCGGCAGGACGTCCCGGCGCAAGCGCCGGTTAGTTGAGCGAAACGCCGGACGTGACAGTGAGGAGGAGGACGTGGAGATTGTCGAAGTTCCGTCCTCGAGAGCTGCGGCTACTGTTGCCGGCACCTCGAAGGCCTCGACCAACAAGGTGACTCGTTGTAGCTCCCTTAAGGACGGGCTGCTGGCCGACGCCTTAAGTGCTGACATCGAGGAGAGGGCAGATCGGATCCTGGATGCGGTGAAGCGGTCGGGCAATATAAAGGGGACAATCGTCATGGACATAAAAGCGAATATCGCTGCCATCCGCGAGTCCTCGCCGTCCCTGGTGGAGCGCTCGGCCACACAAGATAACGCGGAGCTTCGCAAAACCGTGGAGAGGTTGACCACCCAGCTCGCCGACCAGAAGGTCCTCCTGGACAGCACACGGCAGGAGGTGGAACAGCAGCGGCAGGAGATTGAGGCGTTGCGTAGGGCGCTGTCGTCGTCTGTTAATTCGGACACGGCGGCGCTTTTGGCTTGCAACCAGCAGCTTGAGCGCGAGCTGAAGGAGGCGCGAACGCCGAGTTCCGCCAGGAATTCTCGCTTAACCGTCAAGACCTGCGTCGCCTAAAACAGGAGTTGGCGGAGGCCAAAGCAGCCGTGTCAATACCATCGGCGCCTGTGGCCGTAGAGGTATCGCCTACTGCCCCGGTCCCTTTACAGCCGGGTGCGGACCCTCCACCTGATAAGGGCATCGAGGCCCGGATCGTCCGGCAAATCGGCGAGCTTTTTAGCGCCCGATTCGCCGGAATTGAGGAACGGCTCCTGTTGGTGGGCGGCAAGAAGCCGCTGCGAAAGAAGTGGGCAAAGAGCGCCTCGCAACCATCTGCATCGCGGGTGGCCAAGAACGTTCCGCAGAGGAAGGGCCCAGTCTCCCAACCGGCCCCTACTGTCGAGCCGGGCGCATCATCTGGCTGACGGGCCAGCTATCGTCTACTGATAACGTTCGAGAGGGGTGGACGGAGGTAATTCGGCGTGGCAAGCGCACGGCTAAGGCGCGTCAAAAAGCGGCACTCGCCACGCAGGCGGCTGACAGAGGAATGGCGCAAGTCCAGCAGAAGGCGCCCAAAAAGAGAAAAAAGCGGCGTTTTAGGCTGCCTCGTTCGTCAGCTGTGGTTTTGTCTCTGCAGCCAGAGACCGAGGAGAAGGGCATGACCTACAAGTCGGTGCGTACCGAGGCGTACACCAAGTTCAAGCCTTCGGAACTGGGTATAACCGACTTGAGGTTCAGGCTGGGCGTCTCCAGGGCGCGCATCCTAGAGTTGCCAGGCGCCGACAGCGGCGACAAGGCGGACCGGCGAAGATAGCCGAAGTCCTCCCGGAGCGAACGGTCAAGATCTCCAGTCCGACCAAATCGGCCGAGCTACGGCTGGGGGATCTTGACGACTCGGCAACATCTGCCGAGATTGTCACCGCGGTAGCGCGTAAAGGGGGATGCCCTCGACAAGACGGGGGAGGTCCGTCGCTCTCCCTCAGGTGCTGGCTCCATATGGATGCGCTGCCCCATTGGTGCTCCCAAGACTCTGGCCAATGCAGGCCGGATCCGAGTCGGCTGGGTGATGGCGCGGGTACAGTCCCTCGACCCTCGGCCCATGCGGTGCTATCGCTACCTCCTCTCCGGGCACGTGGCGCAGCGGTGCACCGCGAGTGTTGACCCCGGCGGAGGCGTCTTGTGCTTCCGCTGCGGACAAGCGGGCCACAAGTCCGCAAAGTGCGTTGCGCCATTACCGAGCTGCGGCGTCTGCGCCGCGCCCGGCAAAAAGGCAGATCACAGGGTGGGTGGCTTGGCTAGGTGCAGCCAATCGCGGAGGGCTCGTGCTCCGGCACGAGATGGCCGCGGGGACGGAGAGTCGATGGATACCTAGCGGTGCTTTTAAGCGCGGCTGGGTGTCTCTCGGCTCTAAAGTGGATCTCCGGGCTGCGGATGGCGAGAATCATCCAAAGCCCCCGAGAGATAGGAGATCCGGGAGTCGGTGCGCTGCGTATGCCCAGCGCACCACTCGGAGAGGCCCTGTCAAGGGGGCAGCGCTGTTGGTGACGCGGACGACTGCAAATCGCGAGCCCTCGTCATCGGCACACGGCGCTGGGAGGAATACCGAGGTGGTTTTTAGTGGGTAAAAATCCCACAGTACCCATCGCCATCACGCTGGCGGTGGGTCTCTTTCTGAAGATTTTCTCCTCGATAAAAAAAGGGGGTTGAGCATAAGTATTGAAAGGGATTATTATGAGGGTTTTTAAGGATCGGTAATGAGTGGCAGGTCCTCGTGCGGGGATGGTTACCAGCTCGCTGGTGGCGGGCCCGAGGCGGTCGGCGGGCGCGAGCGGCTGCTGCTGGTCGAGGCTGCGCAGCCCCACCTTGTCGCTCATGCCCCACTCGCGCACCATGTGGCTCGCCAGCGACGTCGCCTGCTTCAGGTCCGACGCCGCGCCTGCGCACACCGCTCGTATTGCATATATACATTTATGATATAGACATCCCTACAAATACTTCATGGATATAGTCCCAGTGTATCTCTCAGGATTCTCTGATATCCATGATGCTGTTCACACGTATGACGGTTATAAGTTTCCATCGGGTGCTCCGCCAGCTTGTTCCCATTCAAACATCAAACGAACTACTTGCTTATTCAATAAACCAATCAATAATCTCTCATTAGTAACACAAAATTTTTTACCAAGTACCTCAAATTATTTATGTACTTGTTTTTTTTTTTATAAAACTTAAAATGGTAAACAAGCTGACGGCCCACACAATGGAAATTAGTAACCGTCACCTATAGACATGAGCAGTACCGTGGACATAACAGAGTATACTGTTACGCCCATGATAACCCTCATGTGTTAACATTCCTGAAGACTCAGATGTTATTCCTCTGTACCCAGCAAATTCACTGCCATATCCCACCCTTCAAACCGAAACACAGCCATGCAAACACACTTGCTTCACGGTAGAAACACAAATGGGACAGAGGTGGCCAAGCAAACGACTTTAGTACAAAGTCTTCCTCTGGTTAGTACCAACTGTTTACTTTTTACCTGATGTTAAAACTGATAAGTCATGATATTTTCCATACATGGCCATTGGCACAGAGAAGGATGTAGTGTATGTACATATTATCCCGTTCAGTCAACACGTGTGGGTCGCGCGGACCAAGTCGCGGCTGTGAGCGCGTATAATGGGCGGTAATGTTACCCGAGGTGATCTTGTCCGGCCCGAAGATGAGCTCCTCGGCGGCGCGGCCGCCCATCATCGTGTCCATCATCGCCAGCAGCTGCTGCTTCGTCACGTGGTACCTGGCAACGGGAGCGACGCGTCAACACTACATAGTATAAAACAAACTCGCTTCCTGTCTGTTTGTCCCTATTGATATTTAGATCTTTAAAACTATGCAACGGATTTTGAAGCAGGTTTTTTTAATAGATAGAATGATTCAAGAGGAAGATTTATATGTATAATACATGCATAATATAGAAAATGCAATCAGTAAAATTTTTGTCTGTCTGTCTGTATGTTCGTTATAGAAACAAAATCTACTCGACGGATTTTAACGAAAGAAACATTGATAAATTTAGAGGTTTCTAATGTGATGTGATGTATACCCGTACAAAGCCGGGACCCGCCCCGGCTAGTCTTTTATATAATGAACGAATGAACACTCCATATTGTTCCTTTCGAAGAATGATACAGATTATAAAGATTTATATGTACACAGACAAAATTAATAATTAATTTAATTACAAAACAAAGATTAGATGATTGGGATGAAACTTAACGGTGGTGAAAATAAAAATAAATATATGATAAATATAAGACACATCTCTGCGCACAGTGGATTGTATAAGGCGTTGACTATCGATAATCGAGCCGCCCGACTTTGAATGCGGAACGGAAGGGTTGTCTGCCCACAGGTGAGAACAGTATTCCAATAGCTTTATATAATTTCACATCGATATTGAGCACTCCTACTTTTTAAAGAGACCGCAAAACTGGACGTCGCAAGATATATCAACGCCCAGAAAAAATAAGTCAACTTGTGTCTTTTTGGGGTTAAATAATAGAGATCGAAACTTGATGGAGTGAAGTTTCGATTTGGTATTCCGGCACTCATCGGTAGCGATGGACCGGTATATAATGACACTGTCGTCTGCGCAATGAATTGCTATCTGCATATCATTGATATGCAGAAGAAACAGAGTCGGAGACAGTACACAGCCTCTCAAAGGTTTTAAATCAGAGCATGCTCCGTCGACTACGACCTTAATGCTACGTTCCTTGAGAAAACTGGCGACCCAAATGCACGTCTCGCAGGCAACCCAATGAAGGTAGCTTTGAAAGCAGCGCTCTATGCCACACCCGATCAAATCGCGATATCCGTGCTAAGGCCTCTCCTACTCTCTATACTCGATAGCCACTGCCCATCGGTGTGTTGTAAGCTAAAAGATCACCGGCCGAACGTCCCTGTCGAAAGCCGTACTGGCGATCACAGATCAGCTGGTGTTCTTCTAGGTACCGGAGCAGTTGACGGTTAATGATGGATTCCATAACCTTCGAGAATAAGGAAGTGATAGCTATGGGCCTATAGTTAGCTGGATCTGAGCGATCTCCTTTTTAGGGATCGGATGCACCAGAGCAGTCTTCCAAAACTTTGGGACTATGCCCGATCGAAAAAGACGCTAAGAACCGGAGCCAATGCTAAGCACAATTGGAGGAATACCATCGGGCCCACTCGACTTATGGATTTCGAGGGAGAAAAGTGCTCTACGCACTGAGCTATGCGTGAATTTAATGTCAGGCATAGAGCTCCTACAACACGTGATGGTCGGTGGTGATTTCTCCCCGTCATCCAATGTCGAGTTTAACGCAAAGATGGATCCAAGAAGATCGGCCTTTTCCTTAGCGTTCTGGGCCAACGAGTCATCCTCCCTGCGCAATGGTGGAAAAGATGACTTACAGAAATTCCCTTGTGCAGCTTTGGCAAGAGACCAGAAAGCTCGAGTTCCAGAGGGCAAACTAGCCAATCTCTTGCCTTCTAATATGCTCTGACTTCGCTGTGGCTATAACTCTTTTGAAAGACCTAGAGGCAGAGTTATACTTCTTTTTAAGAGCACTGGTGTTAGGATCTCGCGACGCCATACCTAGGTTAGGAAGCACTCCTGTTTCAGACGAGATGCTGTTCTACAAGAGGCTCCATCAGGGCTGGGATTTCCCGCCGACGGGCACCACAGAGTTAGGAATAAATAATTCCATTCCCTGAAGCACCACATCAGCAATGGAATTGGCAATGGCGTCGGGATCATCCAGTGTGAAGCAAACCTGCCTCCATGGGTAAGATGCGAAAAAAATCCGCATCTCATCCCAGTCTGCTGACCTGTAGTGAATTCAAAAAGAATTCTTAATGATGGTTTCCGGGGGAACCACGACCTGATAGGGAATATTGCTAGCAATGGGGCTATAAAAGTCCATTAATATCAATCCCTTCCCCCCCCCCCGCTGTTTCTTATGTTGGCGATTCTAAATAAATAAATGAATTAAAAAAAAACCCCCGCCCGCGCTATTGGTATACGCTGGCGGGGCACCAGTGATGGATGATAAACAGGTAGCATTCACAGGTCACTTGTTTGTTGTAAACAGCAGTGAGTTGATAAGTGGTGTGGTATGGTATAGTGGTGGGTATGGTATGTACGCACCTCTCCTTGGCCGGGATGTAGGCGGTGTGTCCGAGCGACGGGCCGCGGGGGATGATGGTCACCTTGTGCAGCGGATGCGAGTCCTGCGCGCACAAAACAATAAACAATAAAGTCGTTTAACATTTTTAACGTTTAGTGAAACGTACATATGAATGCTTGAGTGGTGATCATTTTGAACCATTTATATATATATATATATATATATATATATATATATATATATATATATATATATATATATATATATATATATATATATATCCTATCGTTTTGTTGGTCTAACTCGGTTTCTTTTCAACAACATCTACCATCTGGTATAATAATACACGTTCGTGACTACTGCTTGACGAGATATGCCAGCGTCTAAACTAACTGTCAACTTTCAACAATAATTGAATATTTTTCAATGTTTCTCATTGATTTCTTTGGGTTGTTTGACTTTGTACAAAAGTCGGTAGATGTCGGGTATGTGTGGTTGGTTGCAGGTTGTGTGCGGCGGCGGCGTACCTTGGTGTAGTAGGCGACGAGCGCGTGTCCGCCCTCGTGGTAGGCGGTGATGGTGTTGGCCTCGAGGTCGGGCAGCCGCGAGCGCCGCTCGGGGCCCATCAGCACCTTGTCGCGCGCCTCCTCCAGGTGGCGCATGCTCACCGCCGACGCGCCCTCTATCGCCGCCCTGCCGCAACACATACGCTCTTCAGCTTTAAACCAGTGGTCGGTTGTGGTGGTGATGGCGGTGTTAGTTGTGATGGTGTTGATGGCGGTGGTGGTGGTGGTGGTGGTGGTGGTGGTGGTAGTGCTAGTGTCGGTGGTGGTGGCGGTGGTGGTACCTGAGCGCGGCCTGGTTGTGCTCGAGGTCGGCGCCGGTGAAGCCGGTGGTGGTGGTGGTGGTGGTGGTGGTGCTAGTGTCGGTGGTGGTGGCGGTGTGAGCGTGGTACCTGAGCGCGGCCTGGTTGACCATGCTCTCGAGGTCGGCGCCGGTGAAGCCGGTGGTGGTGGTGGTGGTGGTGGTGGTGGTGGTGGTGCTAGTGTCGGTGGTGGTGGCGGTGTGAGCGTGGTACCTGAGCGCGGCCTGGTTGACCATGCTCTCGAGGTCGGCGCCGGTGAAGCCGGTGGTGGTGGTGTTGGTGGTGGTGGTGGTGGTGGTGGTGGTGGTGGCGGTGCTAGTGGCGGTGGTGGTGGCGGTGGGAGCGTGGTACCTGAGCGCGGCCTGGTTGACCATGCTCTCGAGGTCGGCGCCGGTGAAGCCGGTGGTGGTGGTAGTGCTAGTGTCGGTGGTGGTGGCGGTGTGAGCGTGGTACCTGAGCGCGGCCTGGTTGACCATGCTCTCGAGGTCGGCGCCGGTGAAGCCGGTGGTGGCGGTGGTGGTGGTAGTGCTAGTGTCGGTGGTGGTGGCGGTGCGAGCGTGGTACCTGAGCGCGGCCTGGTTGACCATGCTCTCGAGGTCGGCGCCGGTGAAGCCGGTGGTGGTGGTGGTGGTGGTGGTGGTGGTGGTAGTGCTAGTGTCGGTGGTGGTGGCGGTGCGAGCGTGGTACCTGAGCGCGGCCTGGTTGACCATGCTCTCGAGGTCGGCGCCGGTGAAGCCGGTGGTGGCGGTGGTGGTGGTAGTGCTAGTGTCGGTGGTGGTGGCGGTGCGAGCGTGGTACCTGAGCGCGGCCTGGTTGACCATGCTCTCGAGGTCGGCGCCGGTGAAGCCGGTGGTGGCGGTGGTGGTGGTGGTGGTGAGCGTGGTACCTGAGCGCGGCCTGGTTGCTCTCGAGGTCGGCGCCGGTGAAGCCGGTGGTGGCGGTGGTGGTGGTAGTGCTAGTGTCGGTGGTGGTGGCGGTGCGAGCGTGGTACCTGAGCGCGGCCTGGTTGACCATGCTCTCGAGGTCGGCGCCGGTGAAGCCGGTGGTGGCGGTGGTGGTGGTAGTGCTAGTGTCGGTGGTGGTGGCGGTGTGAGCGTGGTACCTGAGCGCGGCCTGGTTGACCATGCTCTCGAGGTCGGCGCCGGTGAAGCCGGTGGTGGCGGTGGTGGTGGTAGTGCTAGTGTCGGTGGTGGTGGCGGTGCGAGCGTGGTACCTGAGCGCGGCCTGGTTGACCATGCTCTCGAGGTCGGCGCCGGTGAAGCCGGTGGTGGCGGTGGTGGTGGTAGTGCTAGTGTCGGTGGTGGTGGCGGTGCGAGCGTGGTACCTGAGCGCGGCCTGGTTGACCATGCTCTCGAGGTCGGCGCCGGTGAAGCCGGTGGTGGCGGTGGTGGTGGTAGTGCTAGTGTCGGTGGTGGTGGCGGTGGGAGCGTGGTACCTGAGCGCGGCCTGGTTGACCATGCTCTCGAGGTCGGCGCCGGTGAAGCCGGTGGTGGCGGTGGTGGTGGTAGTGCTAGTGTCGGTGGTGGTGGCGGTGTGAGCGTGGTACCTGAGCGCGGCCTGGTTGACCATGCTCTCGAGGTCGGCGCCGGTGAAGCCGGTGGTGGTCGGTGGTGGTGGTGGTGAGCGCGGCCTGGTTAGTGTGGCGGTGGTGGTGGTAGTGCTAGTGTCGGTGGTGGTGGCGGTGCGAGCGTGGTACCTGAGCGCGGCCTGGTTGACCATGCTCTCGAGGTCGGCGCCGGTGAAGCCGGTGGTGGTGGTGGTGGTGGTGGCGGGTGGTACCGGTGGTGGTGGCGGGTACGTGAGCGCGGCCTGGTTGACCATGCTCTCGAGGTCGGCGCCGGTGAAGCCGTGGTACCTGAGCGCGGTGGTGGTGGTGGCCGGTGGTGGTGGTAGTGCGGTGTCGGTGGTGGTGGCGGTGTGAGCGTGGTACCTGAGCGCGGCCTGGTTGACCATGCTCTCGAGGTCGGCGCCGGTGAAGCCGGTGGTGGTGGTGGTGGTGGTGGTGGTGAGCGCGGCCTGGTTGACCATGCTCGAGGTCGGCGCCGGTGGTCGGTGGTGGTGGCGGTGTGAGCGTGGTACCTGAGCGCGGCCTGGTTGACCATGCTCTCGAGGTCGGCGCCGGTGAAGCCGGTGGTGGTGCTAGTGTCGGTGGTGGTGGAGGTGTGAGGTGGTGAGCGCGGTGGTGGTAGTGCGGTGAAGCCGGTGGTGGTGGTGGTGGTGGTGGTCGGTGGTGGTGGCGGTGTGAGCGTGGTACCTGAGCGCGGCCTGGTTGACCATGCTCTCGAGGTCGGCGCCGGTGAAGCCGGTGGTGGCGGTGGTGGTGGTGGTAGTCCTAGTGTCGGAGGTCGTGGAGTTGTGAGCGTGGTACCTCAGCGCGGCCTGGTTGACCATGCTCTCGAGGTGGTGAAGTGGTGGTGGCGGTGGTGGTGGGTGGTCGGTGTGGTGGCGGTGTGAGCGTGGTACCTGAGCGCGGCCTGGTTGACCATGCTCTCGAGGTCGGCGCCGGTGAAGCCGGTGGTGGTGGTGGTGGTGGTGGTGGTGGTGGTGGTGGTAGTGCTAGTGCCGGTGGTGGTGGCGGTGTGAGCGTGGTACCTGAGCGCGGCCTGGTTGACCATGCTCTCGAGGTCGGCGCCGGTGAAGCCGGTGGTGGTGGTGGTGGTGTCGGTGGTGGTGGCGGTGCGAGCGTGGTACCTGAGCGCGGCCTGGTTGACCATGCTCTCGAGGTCGGCGCCGGTGAAGCCGGTGGTGGTGGTGGTGGTGGTGGTGGTAGTGCTAGTGTCGGTGGTGGTGGTGGTGGCGGTGTGAGCGTGGTACCTGAGCGCGGCCTGGTTGACCATGCTCTCGAGGTCGGCGCCGGTGAAGCCGGTGGTGGTGGTGGTGGTGCTAGTGTCGGTGGTGGTGACCATGCGGTGTGAAGCCGGTGGCGGTGGTGGTGGGTGGCGCTGGTTGACCCTCGAGGTGACGGTGGTGGCGGTGGTGGTGGTAGTGCTAGTGCGAGGTGGTGACCATGCTCTCGAGCCGGTGAAGGTGGTGGCGGTGGTGGTGGTAGTGCTAGGTCGGTGGTGGTGGCGGTGCGAGCGTGGTACCTGAGCGCGGCCTGGTTGACCATGCTCTCGAGGTCGGCGCCGGTGAACGGTGGTGGTGGGGGGAGTGCTAGTCTCTGGGTGGTGGTGGCGGTGTGAGCGTGGTACCTGAGCGCGGCCTGGTTGACCATGCTCTCGAGGTCGGCGCCGGTGAAGCCGGTGGTGGTGGTAGTGCTAGTGTCGGTGGTGGTGGGTGGTGGTGGTGGTCGAGGTGGTGAAGTGTCGGTGGTGGTGGTGGTGGTGGCGGTGTAGCGTGGAGCGCGGCCTGGTTGACCATGCTCTCGAGGTCGGCGCCGGTGAAGCCGGTGGTGGCGGTGGTGGTGGTGGTGGGGGTGTGAGGTGGTACCTGAGCGCGGCCTGGTTGACCATGCTCTCGAGGTCGGCGCCGGTGAAGCCGGTGGTGGGGGTGGTGGTGGTGGTGGTGGTGTAGTGTCGGTGGTGGTGGGTGAGCGTGGTGAGCGCGGCCTGGTTGACCATGCTCTCGAGGTCGGCGCCGGTGAAGCCGGTGGTGGCGGTGGTGGTGGTGGTAGTGCTAGTGTCGGTGGTGGTGGTGGTGGTCGGCGCCGGTGAAGCCGGTGGTGGTAGTGCTAGTGTCGGTGGTGGTGGCGGTGAGCGTGGTACCTGAGCGCGGCCTGGTTGACCATGCTCTCGAGGTCGGCGCCGGTGAAGCCGGTGGTGGTGGTGGTGGTGGTGGTGGCGGTGTGAGCGTGGTACCTGAGCGCGGCCTGGTTGACCATGCTCTCGAGGTCGGCGCCGGTGAAGCCGGTGGTGGCGGTGGTGGTGGTGGTGGCGGTGTGAGCGTGGTACCTGAGCGCGGCCTGGTTGACCATGCTCTCGAGGTCGGCGCCGGTGAAGCCGGTGGTGGTGGTGGTGGTGGTGGTGGTACCTGAGCGCGGCCTGGTTGACCATGTCGAGGTCGGCGCCGGTGAAGCCGGTGGTGGTGGTGGCGTGGTGAGCGCGGTGGGTGGTGGTGGTGGTGGCGGTGAGCGCGGTGATGCTCTCGAGGTCGGCGCCGTAGTGTCGGTGGTACCTGAGCGCGGCCTGGTTGACCATGCTCTCGAGGTCGGCGCCGGTGAAGCCGGTGGTGGTGGTGGTGGTGGTGGTGGTGGTGCTAGTGTCGGTGGTGGTGGCCCGCGCCAGCTGGCTGACCATGCGTCGACGGCGCCGGTGAAGCCGGTGGTGCGCGGCGACCCGCGCCAGGTACAGCGCCAGGATCTCGCGCCGCCCCACGTAGTCCGGCGTCGGCACGCTCACCTGCACACGCGCACGGCCACCGCACACTCAGCACAGACATGTCGCGCCCACTCTCGGTCACATTGTACGGAAGATCGGTAACTAAGTCACGACTGGCGCCTGGCCGTCGGCGGAGGATCGGCAACTTTGCGTTTCACGTTTTGATATACAAAACGCCAAACTCAACTCAACTGTTCACATCAACTACTCGCATCAGTAGATATTATTGAACTAAATGCAACGGTAACTTTACACACCGAGCCTAGAGACATATTCAAGGGATCTCCCATCATCGATCTTCCGCAGCAGACGATCCGCTAAATACGAGTATGCCACTAAAACTATGAGTGTAATGAACTCTTTTAATCTATTACTTTTTTTTTAATACCGCTGTGGTGGCAAACAAGCATACGGCCCACCTGAGGGTAAGTGGTTACCGTAGCCTATGAACATCTGCAATACCAGAGGTATTACGCGTGCGTTGCCGACCCTGAAGAAACCTCTTTACCCCCCTTTTAACTTGCTCAGCACATACGTCTAAACAAAACAATGCATCTCAAATTACCATACGAATATATCGAGACAAACCTGAGGAAGCGGGGGGAAAGGGATTGTTAGTAATGGAGGCTGAGAATCCCATTGCTAGCAATACACCCAACCAGGTCTACCTCCTCGCGGTTCCCCCTGGAAACTATCATGGTTAATTCCTTAATGAATTTATAATGATGGGCTAACTGGCCTGTTTTCATTCTCATCTATCACCCTTCACTGGTGCTCCGCCAGCGTATCCCGTTAGCGCAGGCGGGGTTACCATACCATTTTCACCCATCAAAAAAACCTGAAGAAGCTGCTGCCCCTCCCCCTTCCATTAAATTCCCTTAGTCGCCTCCCACGGGAAAGGAAAGGGTGACATATTCTATGTTGACACCTACACTACGAGTCTAAGCACATATTTACATTAAATTTATAAGTGTCAAATTTTAGTAATTTAGTCATTTTCAAATGAAAACAATTGTCATTTCATGTCTTGGAGGACACGTAAATCTGTCGTACTGTAAGCCCCTGCGTATAAAACGGGCGGCCCTCTGGTATCTATACTAGAGGGCGCCACCCTCACACGAGCAGTGGTGGTAGCGGCGGACCGACCTCGACGTCGAACCGGCCGGGCCGCAGCAAAGCCTGGTCCAGGTCATCACGGCGGTTGGTGGCGCCGAGCACGATCACGCCCTCGTTCTGGTGGAAGCCGTCCATCTCCGACAGCAGCTGGTTGATGGTCTACAACATACGTCACACGTCACACATCGCACCAGTGTTCAAGGCCGGGGTAATGTACAGGACAGGCAGGCTGCTCGTAAGCAATATATATCAGAGGTTCGATTCTCGTGATAAACATATTTTATTCAGTAAAATAACAGCCATAAAATCACAAACCCACACACACACACACACACACACACTGATAAACAAATAGATTAAAAATATTTCAAATTAAAGCTCGTATCTACAAATAGTTTTTTTTTTATAATACAATAAATTTACTATTTGCATTTTTTTTTATTATCAAAAAACTCTGATATACTATCATACCATTATCATATCAGACCTTAACTGTCCACTGCTGAACATAAGCCTCCCATGTGGAGGGGTTCGCCAGTAGTTGCCACGCTTGGTAGACGAATTGGCAACCGCAGTTAGGCTTTAGAGATGTTTTAAGAGGGACGCTGCTATCCATCCCTCGCCCTCCCTTAGTCGCGTCTTACGACACCCACGAGAATGGAAGGGATGGCCTATTCTATACCGGGACTACACGGCCATCTGATACACTAGTTATTTAAAATTTATTATTTAGACATTTATTTAAATCGTTACAAAATCAACCGCACGATTGGTATAAAAACACTGATATTTCAAAAGAGTCTTATTGAAGAAACAAATTCTAAACAGCTGAGAAACTGACGCTTCACGTTCTTTTTTTTTGAGTTTTTTTTTTATATAATGATACTGTTATTGTCAATTGCGATAATTTTGTATTCAGAGCTTGTTCTTTTTTTAGTTTTGGTTGTAATTTTTTTTTTATTTATTATTTGTTTTGTGTATTGAGTCTCAAATCCAAAAATTGGGTATTGGCGATTCACACGAAAGCTAAAGTTTGTATTTTTTTTTACGTATTTCTCTGTTCGCCCAATGGTTGACTGGTAGAGAACACCGTCCGGTGTTAAGTCCGCCATATGTACATAGAATTTTATTGTGCATTAAAGTTTAAATAAATAAAGTTAAATGAATTAAGGGACTGCCTGAAAATCAGCGCTATATAGGTACATCTCGCTGGAACTGTATATATAGCAACAGCTGAGGCGGCTCCAGCAACCAGCAAAACGAATTCTTTTCTTTTTTATTGTTTTTTTTTAACTATTATTGGTGGCAATAAAGACTATCTATCTATCTACTTTTTTATATTATTTTTCGTAACACAAGCCGAGACCTGGTTGGCGTATGGATGCAGCACGCTGTTGGTCCTCTTAGCGCCCACCGAGTCGATCTCGTCGATGAATATCACGCACGGCGCTCGTTCCTTGGCCGCCTCTGTACAAAAAAAGTACATGCTTACGACTATAATTAGTAACAAGGTAAAATATTTATATGTTTACAGGGTTTATGTATTTTGTGTAATTAATACGTAGTTAGTACTATTCTTTGTATATACTTATCTTGGGAATATGTTTACGCGATAGTTACATAGCGAGTCACCACCGACACCGCTGACGCCGCATCGCATCCAAAACTCGTGTAAATTTTTTTTTATACAACTTAGAATGGCAAACAAACTGACGGCCCACCTGATGGAAAGTGGTAATCGTCGCCTAGACATGAGCAGTACCATGGACATAACAGAATATTCTGTTTCGCCCATGATATCACGCATGCGTTGCCATTCCTGAGGACTCAGGTGTTATTCCTCTGTACCCAGTAAATTCACGCCATATCCCACCCTTCAAACCGAAACACAGCCATGCAAACACAACTGCTTTACGGTAGAAACACGAATGGGACAGAGGTACCCAAGCAAACGACTTTTGTACAAAGTCTCCCTCTGGTGTAACTAGGTAATTGCTGACGCTGCAGCACGAGGCTGGCTAACGTGACGACTTAAGAAATCACTCCTGGTTCACACTTCGAACTGGACAGGCATTTTAATTATAATTGGACATAAGAATTTTATACTGTAACTTTTAGAATTAAATTAGTTTTTTTTTCTGAGTCCTCCGGTTGTCGTCCTCATAATACAACGGGTGTAGTGTGTAGTGCGGCTGCTGGTGGCGGTGGTGCTACTCACTGAAGAGGTCGCGGACGCGGCGCGCGCCCTGGCCGACGAGGATCTCGTCGAACTCGGGCCCGGCGGCGTGGAAGAACGGCACGCGTGCCCTGGCCGCGTGTGTAGTGCGGCTGCTGGTGGCGGTGGTGCTACTCACTGAAGAGGTCGCGGACGCGGCGCGCGCCCTGGCCGACGAGGATCTCGTCGAACTCGGGCCCGGCGGCGTGGAAGAACGGCACGCGTGCCCTGGCCGCGTGTGTAGTGCGGCTGCTGGTGGCGGTGGTGCTACTCACTGAAGAGGTCGCGGACGCGGCGCGCGCCCTGGCCGACGAGGATCTCGTCGAACTCGGGCCCGGCGGCGTGGAAGAACGGCACGCGTGCCCTGGCCGCGTGTGTAGTGCGGCTGCTGGTGGCGGTGGTGCTACTCACTGAAGAGGTCGCGGACGCGGCGCGCGACATGGCAGACGAGGATCTCGTCGAACTCGGGCCCGGCGGCGTGGAAGAACGGCACGCGTGCCCTGGCCGCGTGTGTAGTGCGGCTGCTGGTGGCGGTGGTGCTACTCACTGAAGAGGTCGCGGACGCGGCGCGCGCCCTGGCCGACGAGGATCTCGTCGAACTCGGGCCCGGCGGCGTGGAAGAACGGCACGCGTGCCCTGGCCGCGTGTGTAGTGCGGCTGCTGGTGGCGGTGGTGCTACTCACTGAAGAGGTCGCGGACGCGGCGCGCGCCCTGGCCGACGAGGATCTCGTCGAACTCGGGCCCGGCGGCGTGGAAGAACGGCACGCGTGCCCTGGCCGCGTGTGTAGTGCGGCTGCTGGTGGCGGTGGTGCTACTCACTGAAGAGGTCGCGGACGCGGCGCGCGCCCTGGCCGACGAGGATCTCGTCGAACTCGGGCCCGGCGGCGTGGAAGAACGGCACGCGTGCCCTGGCCGCGTGTGTAGTGCGGCTGCTGGTGGCGGTGGTGCTACTCACTGCAGAGGTCGCGGAAGCGGCGGGGGCCCTGGCCTCAGAGGATGTCGTCGAACACGGGCCCGGCGGCGTGGAAGAACGGCACGCGTGCCCTGGCCGCGTGTAGTGCGGCTGCTGGTGGCGGTGGTGCTACTCACTGAAGAGGTCGCGGACGCGGCGCGCGCCCTGGCCGACGAGGATCTCGTCGAACTCGGGCCCGGCGGCGTGGAAGAACGGCACGCGTGCCCTGGCCGCGTGTGGTGCGGCTGCTGGTGGCGGTGGTGCTACTCACTGAAGAGGTCGCGGACGCGGCGCGCGCCCTGGCCGACGAGGATCTCGTCGAACTCGGGCCCGGCGGCGTGGAAGAACGGCACGCGTGCCCTGGCCGCGTGTGTAGTGCGGCTGCTGGTGGCGGTGGTGCTACTCACTGAAGAGGTCGCGGACGCGGCGCGCGCCCTGGCCGACGAGGATCTCGTCGAACTCGGGCCCGGCGGCGTGGAAGAACGGCACGCGTGCCCTGGCCGCAGTGCGGCTGCTGGTGGCGGTGGTGCTACCCTGAAGAGGTCGCGGACGCGGCGCGCGCCCTGGCCGACGAGGATCTCGTCGAACTCGGGCCCGGCGGCGTGGAAGAACGGCACGCGTGCCCTGGCCGCGTGTGTAGTCAGGCTGCTGGTGGCGGTGGTGCTACTCACTGAAGAGGTCGCGGACGCGGCGCGCGCCCTGGCCGACGAGGATCTCGTCGAACTCGGGCCCGGCGGCGTGGAAGAACGGCACGCGTGCCCTGGCCGCGTGTGTAGTGCGGCTGCTGGTGGCGGTGGTGCTACTCACTGAAGAGGTCGCGGACGCGGCGCGCGCCCTGGCCGACGAGGATCTCGTCGAACTCGGGCCCGGCGGCGTGGAAGAACGGCACGCGTGCCCTGGCCGCGTGTGTAGTGCGGCTGCTGGTGGCGGTGGTGCTACTCACTGAAGAGGTCGCGGACGCGGCGCGCGCCCTGGCCGACGAGGATCTCGTCGAACTCGGGCCCGGCGGCGTGGAAGAACGGCACGCGTGCCCTGGCCGCGTGTGTAGTGCGGCTGCTGGTGGCGGTGGTGCTACTCACTGAAGAGGTCGCGGACGCGGCGCGCGCCCTGGCCGACGAGGATCTCGTCGAACTCGGGCCCGGCGGCGTGGAAGAACGGCACGCGTGCCCTGGCCGCGTGTGTAGTGCGGCTGCTGGTGGCGGTGGTGCTACTCACTGAAGAGGTCGCGGACGCGGCGCGCGCCCTGGCCGACGAGGATCTCGTCGAACTCGGGCCCGGCGGCGTGGAAGAACGGCACGCGCGCCTCGCCCGCCACGGCGCGCGCCAGCAGCGTCTTGCCGGTGCCCGGCGGGCCCACCAGCAGCACGCCCTTCGGCAGCTTGCCGCCCAGCGACGAGAACTTCTCCGGCGACTTCAGGAACTCCACCTGCCGCCACCGACATACACGCACTGCTCATACGCCAAGTCCACGGCCGAACTATCGGGCATCATGACTGTTGAACTCGTCACGATTGGCCGACTGACCTGCCTTCATCCCCACTTATCATCATGAGCTTCGCCATTAACAAAATATTTACAAGTTTTCCACCATTGCATTTACTACCCTTGTTTTCCATTATCCATCCACTGCTGAATATAGGCTTCCCCCATAAACTGCCATAAAGAACGGTCCCGAGCCACCTGCATCTACTGACTTCTTGCAATGCATACCCTATGTTATGGGTGATTAAAAACTGGTTAACTTTAAAAACAAATATCAGCGTAATAGATTTAAAATACAATAACACTGACCACATCCTGCAGCTCCTGCTTGGCCTCGTCAGCGCCCTTCACGTCGTCAAATGTGACGGAGATCTCCTCGGGGTCCACCTCCACTTGGTTCCCTAGCTGGATCCTGCGTATGTTTGTCATAGCACACTACTGATTATTCCATGCCTTACATTAAGACCAGCAGATCTACTTGTGATAATCTAATCTATATCAATCCAATCTATTTTTTTTTTTTTTGATGGGTGAAAAAAAAAAAGTATGGTAACTCCGCCTGCGCCAACGGGATACGCTGGCGGAGCACCAGTGAAGGGTGATAGATGAGAATGAAAACAGGTCAGCTAGCCCATCATGATGAATCCATCAGGAATTAATCATGATAGTTTCCAGGGGGAACCGCGAGGAGGTCGACCTGGTTGGGTATATTGCTAGCAATGGGATTCTCAGTCTCCATTACTAACAATCTCTTTCCCCCCAAATCCAATCTATTGCCAATAACAATTTTATACTACACTCATGAAGCAACAGTTAGGAATTAGGTTATAATTGGGATCGGTTTACAACAGTTTGCATTGGCAAGTTGCACTAATATGCATCTATCAGAACAATATGGGACTATTATGTCGCTAGTGTTGCAATTCAAGAGTGTGAAACGTCTCAATTCCAATATCGATCTATTGGAATTTATGTTAAGGGTAACCCCCGCAGATACCTAGAAAACTACCAAACAAATTGATAGATAGATTAGTGTGTTACATGTTTAGGGAAAAAAAAATTTCCGATTTGGATCTAATAATATTATATTATCCATTATAGTTATTGAAATGTTCTTTTTCCTTAATTTCAAATTTGAAAAAAAAAAATACCAATAGGTTATCATTCTATTTTCACCTTAAAAAAGTTCACTACAATTTAACATGGTCATTAATTACAGAAAGCAATTAATTGGCTTTCAAAAAAAGCGTTCACGCTCACTTTTTATTTTTATCCGAGCAATAAGTGCTTTATATTATTCCTAAATTCGTGTATAATATAGTATATATCATATATGTATAAGTATATTTGTTATTCATATATATATGTAATTTTAGTATGTATGTATATCAATAATTACTAGTACCGCATTCGTGTATTCTGCCACTTCCCTATGGTTGACTGGGAGAGAATGCTTTTAGCATTAAGTCCGCCATGTACACATATATGTAGTAATGAATAAATAAATAAATGCATTTACGACTGGAGCAACAAAATATCTAAATACGATTAGACCTTGCAAACAAATGAATCAAATTCGATGCAGCTTTCGTTTATAATATTCCATATTACATTTTATTCCTCTAACCAGACAGTTTAAACATAGTAGGTATTGCACCGTGATTTTGCATACTTGACCATATCCCCCGCCTTAAAATTCTTCGCGACTTTTATAATGCCCGAGTGATAGTTACCGGAAGACGGTGCCACTGACGGATGCCATGAGGCTCACGAAGATTGCGAGGAATAGCACAATGGTTAGCAGCTGCTGAACTAGTTTCAAATACTTGGATGCTTTTGTACCGCGCACGTTTTCGGGATGTGAACCTGCGGGAAGAAATAAAATAGCTCTGTATTACTTAAATGAGAATAAATTCGTGACAACAAACGACACCCTCGCAGGTAATTTAATAATCATATTCATGTTTATTTCAGACTACAGTTTGGTCCATTTTGTTAGTAACAATTTCCTTACAAACTATGTTAATATAAAAAAGTGAACATACAACTAGACAGGTGTGAGCCAGCCGACTAGATCAGCATCTGAATGAAATGCCTATATATAGGCGAGTTATATTTCTCGCCTATTACTTTCAGAATGCCGTTGATGCTTGTTCTGTGTGTAACAATTGGGCATAAAGTTTTTCTATTAGGATTTCTATACATTTATAACGACAAGCTGACGACCTGATGGTAAGTGATAACCGTCGCCTATGGACAGCATCATGGAGATTACGGGATACACTGTGATGCTATATGTTTCCATTTCTGAAGACTATGGTCTTATGCCTGCGCAACCTGTAATTTCACTGCTATATCCCACCTACAGATGTATAGAGATATACAATAACATGTAAAGCTTCACACTTATATAGGAGCGAATGGACTGATCTTTTCACATACACATGCCAGCTACTTTCCACAAAGATTGTTGGAGAAGCACCATAACACTTCCAAAATTCCTGTGAAAGTGTTCTTAAACTTATTCCTATAAAAAAAAAATTATAAAACCCAATGGTCTAGATTGTATTTTAAAATGAATTTCTAAAATTATTTTTTTTAAATGTCAAAATTGTTCCAGTACCGATCTTAGTGATTGACGTAATAGCGATCGAAACATTAATCGATACTTAAGGCACGAAGCAGATTGCTTCGATATTAAAATCTGTTCTCAGAGCATATCGATTGCTTGGGTACCTCTGTCCCATTCGTGTTTCAACCGTAAAGCAGTTGTATTTACATGACTGTGTTTCGGTTTGAATGGCGTGAATTTACTGGGTACAGAGGAATAACATCTGAGTCCTCAGGAATGGCAACGCATAAGGGGTATCATGGGCGAAACAGTATACTCTGTTATGTCCATGGTACTGCTCATGTATATAGGCGACGGTTATCACTTTCCATCAGGTGGACCGTCTATAGTTATATTATATATATATATATATATATATATATATATATATATATATATATATATATATATATATATATATATATATATATATATATATATATATATATATATATATATATAAACTTCATACTATTAATAAAGAAGTATATATTTTGGGAATAAAATGAAGAATTCTAATAGATACGTCAGCTTTATATCTATAAAAACACGAGTGAGTAGTTAAGTCACGTACCAGCCAGGTATCCCTCGGCGAACGCGATCTTGATCTTGTCCTTCTGCTGGTTGCTGAGCAACGCGTCCTCGCTGAGCAGCTTCTCCAGCCGCGGCGCCACGTCGGGGCTCAGCGCCCCCTGCTTCTCGCTGCTGTCGCCTACATTCAGACCTGCCGACACACAGTATGTTTGTTAGTTTGCAATGGATAAACTCAAAAACTACTCAACCTTTTTTCAAAAAGGATTATTAACAATGCGGACTACCAGACCCATTGCTAGCAATATACCCTGTTAGTTCGACCTCCACGTGGTCCCCCCTGGAAACCATCGTGTTAATATCAGGTGAATTCATGATGGACTAACTGACCTACCTTTTCGTCACCTATCATCCCTCACTGGTGCCCCGCCAGCGTATACCGATAGCGCAGACGGGGTTACCATTCCATTATCACCCACTGAAGACAGAAGGGAAGCGGCTTTGTTTCATACTATGTAGTGATAAACGAGCCGTATGCTTGTTCGCCACCATAGTAGTATAAAAAATATTTGGGATAACGGTAGGAAAATGGCAATGATATTTTTTATTTATTTTTTTTATATCACTGAGGTGGCAAACAAGCATACGGTCCACCTGATGGTAAGCGGTTACCGTAGCCTATGAACGCCTGCAATACCAGAGATATTACGCGCGCGTTGCCGACCCTGAAGAAACCTCTTTACCCCCCTTTTGAAGAACCCCATGCTGTAGTCTCTTGGGAAAACCTCAGCAGGGAGCTCATTCCATGACCTGAGCATTCGTGGGAGAAAACATCTCTGAAACCGCGGTGTACGCGACCATTTAGGCTGTAGGGTATAAGAGTGAAGGGTATCCCTGTCGATGGCGAGCCGTACGATGGTAGAAATAATTATTTATAATATTAATAGTAAACCCAAGCAACATGTAATGTCGTATCTCAAATAAGACGCATCGTTTACAGAACACGCGCTAACCGAGTAATCAGCAGTATGACGCGAGAGGTCGACGACTCCTAGTCTATAGATTACGTATTATCAGTGGGTTCGCGGCCGTCATTAGCATGCTGATGCGGTGATGATTATCAATACAAACTATATGCACATTAATACACAATATAGCAATGTTAATATTAGAATTAGAAGTTTGTTTGAATCGAAGCATTTGGCGTTCCATTGTTTCTGCCTACCCTAATGGGAGACAGGCGTGACAGATATGTATGTATGTAATATTAGAATTAAATAGAACAACAATTTAATTAATTAATTACATATGTCGTCATCATTATTACATCAGCCATTAGCTGTCCACTATTGGACATATGCCTCGCCCATAAAATGGTCTTGCTAATATTAGCCACGCTTGGTGGGCGGGCTGATAACGCAGTTAGGTTTTGGTGATGTTTTAAAAGAAATGCTGCTTCTCATACCTCCACCATTAAACTTTTTTTTTATAGAATGATAATGGAATGGAAGATCCGCCTGCGCTAACGGTATACACTGGTGGGGCACCAGTGAGGTGAGAATGAAAATACAGGTCTAAGTGACTGTCTTTTCATGCTCTATATATATTTTTTTTATACAACTTAGAATAGCAAACAAGCTGACGGCCCACCTGATGGAAAGTGGTAACCGTCGCCTATAGACATGAGCAGTATCATGAACATAACAGAGTATACTGTTTTGCCCATAATACCCCTATGCGTTGCCATTCCTGAGGACTCAGATGTTATTCCTCTGTACCCAGTAAATTCACGCCATATCCCACCCTTCAAACCGAAACACAGCCATGCAAACACAACTGCTTCACGGTTGAAACACGAATGGGACAGACAGGGAATGGCGTGAATTTACAGGGTACCTGTAAATTCACCCCATACATAAAGTTATCTGCCTTATACACTTGCAATTCAACACGATGGTTTCTAGGGGGGAACCTTGTGGAGGTCAACCTGACTGCATCCACCACTAAACTTCCATATGTAATGTTGTTAAAAACTGTGCTTCAATACACATATATTAATAATTTAAAATCGTGTTCCCCAAAACTGATTTAAACTGTTGAAAAACTAATTATTTTAATTTCAAAACTAAACTACCAATTCTGAACAAATTTCTATGGGACCAACCTGTAAGTATACCTTTTCAGATAAAAAAAAATTTTTCAAAACAATTTATAACCGAGGGAGTTATGAGGTAACAAACAAAAAAAACCTAATTTGAGAATCGATTGCTTTTTTTGAAGTCGGCTCATTATTTCTAAAACTTACATTAATTTTTTAACTATTTCTATACATATATGTATTAGCTTTTATCCACGACTATGTCGCATGTCTGGGATACGTTTACTATCAAGGATAAAAAATAACCTATAAGTAATCATCTCTATTCCATATAGTACATGTATAACAGCACTAGAGGGCGACAGCTATATATGGGTAGTATTAGTAGAACAAAGCAAATTAAAAGATATTTATATGACAATGTGATCCCCAATCCATGGATTCATTGCACATAATCATACTGACCGAAGAACTTACGCAGTCTATTAATGAGGTTGGGGTTCCGTTTGAGGTCCGCATGCACACTGCGCTCTGTCTTGAACCCCCGCACCTGCACGTTGTACCTGAAGCTGTTCTCATGGATGCTCCTCGCTAGCAGGCCCACAAAGTTGTCTGTGAAACTGAATCTAAAACAAATGGCATGCGATAGTTACTATTTTTTTTCATTACTAGACAATCCTTACTAATAGGATCTTAACAGGTTAACTAATCACTAGGAAATTTGGTATGCACATAGTATATGCGATGGAGAAGTATATAACCCTATATAATATACACCTATCCCGCGATTTACACGGTACTTGTTTTACACGTTTTCGCTTTTACACGGTTTTCCAAATAAGTTTTTTTTTTTTTGTTTTTATCGCACTCTACTAAATGCTACTGTGTTTGAACACGTGCGCTGTGTACACATCTCACGGGGAATCCCGACCTTAAGTGCTGACTTGCTGCACATGCACACTGTGTCTGTATTTCTTCGTATAAAATTAAAGTTTTATCTACGGAAAATTGTATTTGAGTGAAAGTTTCACAGTGTCAGAAAGATTTAATTTTTCATATTCGTAAATTACAAGTGAGTGCATAATTAAGATTTTTATAAATTAACATAAATTAAAAAAAAAATATAGGCTTATAATGTCAAAAGAAGTTAAAAGAAAAGTTATTTCTTTAGAAACTAAAATCGAAATTTTGGATCGCTTACGAAAGGGAGATAGAGTAGTAGATGTTGCAAAATCATATAACATGAACGAAGCTACAATAAGAACTATTAGAACAAATGAAAATTTTTATTTTTATTTCTGTGTACACGTAAAAATATTGAAAAAAACCACAACTGACAAATAGCAAAATTATGCATTTTCTGCAAGCTTTTCGATTTACACGGTTTTGAAATGAAAATTTAAAATTTTCGATTTACACGTTTTTCTCAGGAATGTATCTACCGTGTAAATCGGGGGATAGGTGTATAAGAAGTATATAATATATATATATTTTATCCCAGTCAGTCAACATATACCAATCCTGCAAAGTCATAATAGCTAGTAGAGACTATTTATAAACTAAATGCAATCCAATTAATGATAATTCAATTGTAACCCTGCCTGCGTTAATGGTATACACCAGTGAGAGATGATAAGTGAGGATGAAAGGACAGGTCAGTTAGCCCATCGTGATGAATACACCTGGAATTCAGCACAATAATATCCAGGGGTGACCAGATGGAGGTCAACCTAACAGGGTATATTGCTAGTAATGGGACTGACAGTCCATATAACTAAACGACAATTACCTCGCCTGTGCTATTAGTGATGACTGATGAGGTATGCACAAAAACATAACCTTTATAATGTGAAAAAATTATTTCCCTGATTTGTTACATCCACAGTAATGCCAACAGCTGAATGTAATTACTAAGAGGGAGGGCAGTCCCAGGCTATGTTACTGTGTAGCAACGCAAATATTGTAGACTGCTCAGGGGTGCACATGTTTTGCACAGGTTAAGAAATATACATCGATTGAGATTTTTTTTTATGCATTTTTTATTTGTAATATTACCATACCACCTTATTGTACCACATTTTTAGCAATAAAATTCATTTATTCATTGTACTGGTACGTGCTGAAGTCTTCAACAAATTGTTAGAAGGTCAATTTGATATAAACAAGCTTCAATTTTCTATTTTATTTGCAAAAACATTATAGAAATACAAATTTTTATGAGAGCTGTTGCATTCATCCACTTGAATTTTTGAAAAGTCATCCATTGACACCTTACAGCAAGTTTTGTTCTTTTTTCATAATGGACCAATCCTGGAGCACATCTGGTGTTACTATCTTTCGCTACATACAGTACGTGACGCACTAACAAATATATGAGTTCTGTTCTAAATAAATTATTATTTTCTAGCTGTTTGCCCACTATTTCATAAATCTATATTTCAGAAATAAGAAAACCAATAGACTACTTCTAAATAGCATATCATAACAAAACATACACTAGTTTTTAAGTTAGACCTTCAGTAATATAATTGTGAAAACTACATACAAGTTGGTACAATAGTTTTTACATGATGCCAGAACAAATAAAGCAGTACAATTCTAAAAATTATTACCTTGGTAATTATTACTCTTTTTAAGAATCCTTAAATAGATTTTCTTAAATATAGCCCATGTACAAACATAGTTACAATTTTTATTATATTAGTAAATTTTATAATATAATCTAGTTTAGATTAATAACATTATATGTGTATTATATTTATATCTTCTAATCTACATATATCTAGAAAGAAGGCACTTTATCTACATATCTTTTATATTAACAATATTTTTGTTTTACTAACACAAAATACGAGCAAATATTGTATAAGTAATATAATTTAGAATGGCAAACATGCTGACCACCTTATAGAAAGTGGTAACCATTATTAGCATACAAATAAAAACAATAAGAATGTAAAGCAAGATTACCTAGTGTCCCTTCTTCGAAGATCAACGGTGACTGTTGGAGTAGACAAATCTGACCATCCATTTTTATTTTTTTCAAAAGAATCTGAAGATATGTATGAGATTTTTCTACTGGAAAGGTCAAGAATGGGCTTCCGTGCGAGCCCCGTCAGGGATCGCACGTCGACCTTACGCATCTCAGCTAAGGCATGCTGGTCGAAATTCCTCAACGCCTCTTCAAAACTTTCCTTGCAATAATTAACATCACAAATCGAACTTTCTTTTCCATTCACATTCTTATGTTTACTGCTGTGTTTTCGTTGTTTAAAGAGACTGGAATACCGTGATGACAGCTGACTAAAACTAACTAGAATCTGGTGACAAACAGGACAAAAGGTTATGTAGATGACAAACAAAATAGTTCTTGTTTTGAATTATTATTGTGCTAATTAAATAATTCGAACAATTATAAAGGACAGTTACCTGGTTTTGACTGTTTATAGAATTCAATGAGAACATGTTACATGTATGTGAATTATAAGTTTTTCTTTCTTGAAGTGCACTCGAAAATTTTGTAGGCTCTTACGTCAAACTTAATTTTCGTAGCAAAAATGGCGTGTATACTTTTTTAATGTCTCTGCTCTATGGTCATCAAAGGAAACTAGTTATAGCGCTAATACATTATTTAGTTTATCAAAATTTGTATATTAAAAAGAGGAAATATCAAACATATAAATATAATAAGAGGAATAATATAAATAAGGCGCGGATCACTCCACACGCGACAGGCAATGGGAAGGCTTAGGTACTGGCAACGGTGTAACGGTGCGTCTTGCTACAAATTTGTAAATACCCCGTAACAACAAAAGGCGCAATATTTAAATATCGAATGCTGATTTTTAGCACTGTTACAATACCGCGGATCAGCGATATGGTTGAAGTAGGTGGTAAGGCATATTTATAAACTTATTTTTATTATACTATACAAAGAAGAAGCAAAGTATTTAGATAAATCAAGCATAGAGGAAAGTAGGAAATACCAGTCATTATCACATGCAAGTGAATATATACCTAAAGTTATAATCAATGTTAAATTGGTTTCGTGGAACCAAAATTGACAGATATAATAATAAATTTGGTGTTTGTTAGCTATATTTATTTATCAAAAAATTTGCATATATGATGGAATAGTCTTAGTCTTTGAAAACATTTCCATCCCATTAACAAGTTTGTGACAATACATATACTGTTACGTATATGTGGTGTTTGTAAATAAATATTGTACATATTTATCTCATAGCCACTTATCGACATCATTACTTTCTTTTCCATCAAGTAGGTTAATTAAATTGTACATAGATATTTCACCTCTTTCTTTCTTTCGGATTGTGACAGCGACGTTTACTTCTTACATTCATTTCCGCTGTCATTCTCTCCATCTCGATCACTCGCCTCTTACACTTCTAATTTCCGTTTTAATATATTATTTTATACATATTTCTTTATATTTAATATTTACGTTCTGTATATAATATATGTAAATAGATAAAATTAGTTGTTATACTTATTTCCTCTGAACAACAACATTGGTGACCTACCGACCGCAACACGGATCAAGAAAAAATGGAACAACAGACTATCGGAACCGACACATACCAAGTATGCGTCAAGATTCCACCATTCTGGCCTGAAGAACCAGAAGTATGGTTCGCGCAAATTGAAGGTCAATTTATATTGTTAAACATTACGGCCGATAATACCAAATTTTATTACGTGATCAGTCAACTTGATCATCAGTACGTAGCCGAGGTGAAAGACATTATCGTATCGCCACCACCTTCGGATAAATTGAAATCAAAGTTTATTAAGCATCTTACCACATCTAAAGAACGTAGAATTAAACAATTACTGATGCATGAAGAGCTCGGTGATCGGAAGCCTTCACATTTCTTGCGTCACCTGCAGAGTCTCGCTGGTCAAGCTGTAAGTGAAGATCTCACGCGTATGATTTGGTCGAGTCGTCTACCTTCAAGCTATTGTCGCCATGCAAAAGGACAGTCCGCTCGAAACCATTGCAGGCCTCGTTGACTACGTGCCCGACATTACACCACCTACCATTGCTCAGGTAACATCAACAGTACTGGAATCTACCTTTAATACTATGTGCCGTAGAGTAGAGGAGTTAACAAGCCAAGTAGAGACGCTGATTCTAAAACAACAGGAGCAGTCTCGTTCAAGATCGAAAGACCGACCGAACTGTTAGAATGTCATATAAACTCGATGAAAAGAGAAAAATTCATGTACCATTTTCACCTAAACAAATTAAATATTGCTCTTATTTAAGCTGAACTCAAATAATCAAGTTACCCGTAACTTGCTTAGATTCCGATAAGACAGCATTATTTTCCTATAAAATAGATCACAAGAAAATCTTTAAAGGTCAGTTGATAAAATATATTGGTAATCGACTAAGATTTTCAGTTTCTTCCTCCTTCTGTACAATTGTGAATACACAGATATTTACAAAGTGCTCTTCCGTAATTTTGCGTAATGTCCATATTAAAAAATATTACCTATACTTTACCAATAGGATTCAATAGGATTCCAATATTTCTGAACGATCGCAATTTTGAGCTCTATAATCTATGCTTTATTTGGACAGTAAATTCCAAAATGGCGACGAGCGATGATGAGCCTATGCATTTATATGAAGTTTTTCAAAACTGTTTCAATAAAATAGCAAATAAACAACAAGGTGAGTGAGAAATTGCATACCTTGGCTCGTCTCGCGTTTCTCGAATGGACTGTTATTGTTCTGTGAAGTGTTTCATTGTGAAAATCAGCCAAAGTGTTCGCGTGTTATGCCATTTCTGTGTTGGAAATCAACAGCATTTTTTAAAAATACAACAAAAAAGTGCCGTTTTCGGCTTGGAAACATATACCAAGCTACTCTCCAATGAACAACGCAAGTATTCTAGTGACATACGTGCTCTCATTTCGCCATAAAACTGTATAAAAGGCTATGTTTTGATCACACACTCGATTGTCAAATGTGGTCGAACCATTGTGCTAAGCTACAGTTGAATTTCAGAGCAAACGTAAATGTTTCAATACTTATTATTTACTTTGACGTCCTCATTGCTGTACCAATTAAATCAAATAATAGCAATACAAAATAGCAATCGTATTTTTTCCAATAAGCGAATTATTGTAGTTACGATTTAGTTAGCTTGCCATATACAGTGCAGTTTTTTTCATAACAATATCAATGGAAACTTGTATAGTTAGTCGAGACGTGTTGTTGTTACTTCGTGGAGTTTAACTCGCAAATTGCCGTTTTTATGGTCTCTTTATAGGTATGTTTATAGAATGAATTTGTTTATTTACACGTACATCGCGTGTTGTATAGATTCTAATTCGACTTATTATACATACTAGTAGTCTGTGATATATGATTTGATATAATTAATATAATCACTTATTAAGCCTATTCTTTCTCTCTTAATTGAATTTATCAATAACTAAGTACTTTTAAAGGTCTATCCATAACAACCTATTAAAATCCCATTGTTGAGGAAGGGGATTGATATTAACGAAAATTGGCAACTCTATTGCTAGCAATATACTCTGTCAGCTGGTCTTTCACTCAATCCCTTTTGAAAAACATTCATTTCTAGTGACTTGTCACAATAGGCTAAATAACCAGCCTTCATTCTATCTGGTATTATCCTTTTGGGAACCCAGCTGGCATTCAATTTCCATACTTTGAAAAAAAGGATATAGCCTAATACTATGCTGGCCTTTTTACACCTCATATTATACTCTTGTATTTTGATTGCTTTTGATCTAAATTATTATTGTTAAATTATGAAATTTAAATATTCATACTAAAATAATGTTTTTCTACCCTTATCCCAATTATTATTTGGGGTTGACATAATATGTTCTTATCCATATCACATAAAGATTTGGCCTATAGTTTTATGACTGGAATTTTTTAATTATTAAATAAATTGAATATTTATAATTGATTAAATAAATTAAAAAAAGTCTAAATTTAGAAATGAAATGAGTAAATTAGAATCAAAATTAAAAGTGGTAGCTTAATAAGAGTCTTATTAGATATTATTATTAGATAATTAACTACCTATAACTGAATTATTAAAATAGATACATTAATCAGGTTGTGTTTAAAATGTTGTAGGTGATATAGATATTGGTGTTATCTAAATGATATTAAATCATCCATCCATTTAATTTTAATGCCTTAAAATGTTATTTTCATACTTTCCTGTATGACTTGCATTACATTTTTAACAATTAATTGTAAATGTTTGAAGGCAATAATTATTTTTTCTGGTATAAATATAAAACTAGTGTATTGTGAGTTGAACTCACACAGTGGGTTCCCTACATTAATGTCAGATAATGTTACCTTGTGTTTTTCATATGAAATATATATCTAGCATTTATCAACATTGATACTACAATTCATGTTTTCTTATTGTGGGTAATAGTTGGTATTTGGAAACTCTATGATAATTTCACTAATACAAAACATTCTTTTATTTTTCCTGTGTGTGATATTTACTTGTATCTTTATAATTTTTTTAAATATAACTATACATACTTTATAATCTTTATTAAATACTCTCTCTCGTACTTGCTGTGCCCAACAGGGTCCATAATTGAAGTTGTTATCTACTAATTATTTTATGGAATGCAATAAGAAATAAATTTACTTAACTAGAAGTTTTGTTCTTTTTTATACAGAGTTAAGCTGAAATTGTTAGTGGTCTAAGAATCTATGAATCTGCCTGTGTTATAAAACATTATTATTATTATATCATTCATTAACTGTCCACTGCTGAACATAGGCCTTCCCCATAAAAGGAGTTTTGTCAGTAGTTGCCACACTTGGCAAGCATGTTAGCAATCACAGTTAGACATTGGGGATGTTTTAAGCGAGATGCTGCTGTCCAACACTCAACCATTAAGTTTCTTTAGTCTCCTCTTATGACACCCATGGAAAAAGGAAGAGGTGTCCCATTTAATGCTGAGACCACAAGCAAGCTATTAAACATTATTTTTTTTATCAAAATTCAATTTGCGTCATTTTTCACCATATGTTTCTTTGCTCAAAATATTCAGTTCCACTACTAGAACATGCCCTCAAAATGATTGTTAAGGATTTTGTTTATGAACTGCAAAGTAATTAAGTGACACTAAGTATGAATAATACAATTTCATTGACTGTCATCTAAAAATTTGAATCATTGTCATCAGTAAGTGTCTCTGATCACATTACAGAATAAATGGCACAAGGACATGCATACATTGTGCCTATAAAGTTTATTGATTGATTACACCGACTTGTACAATCTGTTTTCAACTGTATGTCTAACCTTTAAGGTCTCCAATCATAAACAACACTCTGTTATTATTTTCTTTTAATTTCTTTTCATTCTAATTGTATTTTAATTAGTAGTTTGTATAATATATATATAGTGATAGGAAATGTAACTCATTTGTTTTGTTGGAAAAATATTTTTGTATAATTTCATAATTATTTCTAGTATATAAATATAATTAATAACAGTTCCATCCATTCTATTCATAACAATATACTACGTTCTATTC